CACACATGTAACAGTCACATGAACATTTTGAATATGAGTATGTTAGGAGAAACATTGTCCAAAATGATGGCTGTCTATTTAAAACAAGGGAAGTCTTCCTCAGAATGGAAGAACTGTGATATGTGTCTGTGTTTTGTAAGTATATCTGGTGTCAGCAATTAAGTCAACCTGATCAAATTCCTGTTCACCTGGGGCCGTATTGTAGAGACTTCCTAGAGACTTTCTATCTTTTTATCTTAACTTAAGATCTGACAGGTCAAGAGAAGATTTTTCACAAATTCGTGTTACAGAAGCAAGTATTTTCTTGATTTAGGAATCTTATCTTACAGCATCTTATCGCAAGTTAAGAAATCTTAACTTACTCGATTGAAGTCGACAACTATAATGTCTGTTATCTAGCAACCGACCATATGCGCACAGCTGAAGCATAAATACATAATCAATGTAATCAAGCCAGTTAGCCAGGCAGCTGGCTACCATTACTGATTTAAAAAAGGTCAAACAAGACTATAGTGCGATAAACTGAAAGTTAAGAATATTGTGAGAGCGCTTTGTGCTGTTTTTCAGAGCGTCGCCGCTCTCCAGTTTCAGTTTCATTTCCCAAACACTTTAGCCAACCATGCTAATGTTATTCCTCCTAATGAACAGACACACATTCAGCTCTGTCTCCTCATTATTCACCACCAACACTGTAATATTTTATCTAACCAGTTTTCATCGACATTAACACACAAAGGTAATAAAAGGGGCAGTGGAGATTGTGTCTACAGTGTCTAGCTTTTAAAATGCTGTTAGAAAAAAAACCATCACAAGTCATACCACGGGGTTTCAGTATAGATAAATGCAATGCCATTATGCTAGTTATTAGTGAACTATGCTGCCTGTCACTGCATAAAACGACAGAAACAGACGGTTAAAAAAGTTAAGACACCTCTGGAGTTGTAAGGACAGAATTTAGGAAATTTTGTCTAGTTAGAATGTTTCTGTAATATTGTTTTCTTATCTGGAATTAATGGATGAGATTATGAATTTAAGAACTGCTGTTCTATAATAGCTTCTGTCCTAAATTCAGTCCTAACTAAAGTTGTCATGGTGACTAAGCAGGTAAGACAAGATTTCAGACTTAAGAAGTTTCTGTAATACGGCCCCAGGTCAGTAAAATAGACTCTGAATCTGGAAGTTGAGACTATACTTAGCTAGCTGGCTTGTTAGCAAGATAGACAGATCTGCAGCCTAATTTGACACATCTTTATGTTTCTTGGCTGTTTACAATTTACAACTTTTCCATGCTAAATGTGTAACTGCATGCAGCGTGCAGAAGAAGGTTTTGTAAGGTTGGGTCTGTTTCAGATCCCTTCCCCGCACGGATCTGATGATTGCAAGAGTATTCAAAGAGAACTCAGTCAAAACTTGAACGACATGTCTTTAGAGGATGTAAGTGAATCATCTACTGATGTCTTCATATCTTCACCAGTATAATCATTTTACATTTGAAACCTAAAAATTGAGCCAGACCTTACTGGGCCGATCGGACCCTGTGCGTGTGACATTAATATGTAAAGGTGTATGACGTGGTCTGTGTTTAACTGTGTTAAATTATAACATTTCTAATGTATTTCTGTGGGCTGTGTGAGTTTTAGGCCTGAAGTTAGTTGTTTTTAGTTGAGTGAAAGAGAGAGAGACACAGAGAGAAAAAGAGAGAGAGAGAGAGAGAGCTTGCCTGTCTGTTGTAATGATGTGTAGACATTAATCTGAGATGAGCTGTGATTCAGGGGAAATATCCCCCCGCTGTGATGCCCTCTCATGCTCTGTCTCCAAAACTACCTGCTGCTTAGCAACATGAAGGCTAATTACTAGAGGCAAATGTGTGTGTGTGTTGTTTCCTGAGTGTTGTTTCTATGTGTGTGTATAAATGCCATTGCTTTATTTTTGCCATTGTGTCCCACCCTCAAGTCATTGCACTCTCTCCCTCTCTCTCACTCTATCTTTCTCTCTTTCTGGGGTGATAGGGTGATAATCAATTAAAACAGAATGTGTGACTGATGACTGGCTCGCATACAGGTCAATAAGTCAGTCAGTTTACAAAGAAAGGCCTTGGAATCAGTGTAGATCCAGTTTGACAGGGCTGAGTGAGCTGAGTGTTTACGTTCTACCTTTTTCATTTAAAACCCTTTCAGAGGCAGTGTTTGGGTTTTGTTGTCTCCTAATCATTTTGGTGGCCCTTTTGGGGTATTATGGTATTACATGCATAGTCTGGGTAACTGACATCTATTGGCAGCTAAAGATGTTGGTCCGCTGGGGCCAGTCAGGCCTGACCGCTGTTGAGCAAAGAGTCTATTGATCTCTGCATCACAGTTTGAAAACAGATACAGTACTGAATTAGTAAGTGTAAACATGCATGAAAACACGACGATGCCTAGCTGAGTGTGGTGATTTAACCGCATATATTTTGGAATGATTATAATCAGTATTAATACAGTTCTGCTCATAGGTTTTATATACTTCTTACTAAATGTGACCTTTTTTAGGAAATGTGAGTGATCACACAAATCACAGTTTCTTTAATTTAGGCAATAGAACATGAGAGGGAGCACGTTATCATGAATAACATCACAACAGTGATTCGGTTGCTTCATCACAGCCATGATGTTATTCATAATAACATACAACCTGGGGTATTCTATTGCTTGTATATGATTCTGCAGAATAAATAAACAAGTAAACCAAAGAAGCCATGAATATTGTATCAAATGCTTTAATATTGGCAGTTCCTTCCACCACAAAAGGTACCATCCCTTTGCATTACAGACAGTGTGGTACAGTTTGATTTAAATGGACATTTGCTTGATATTTAACATTGTCTTCTCAACTGGTCATGAACTAAGCATCCAAAAATGATCAAACCTGCATTTCTAAAAAAAAAATGCTTAATATATTGTGTGAAAAGCATGTTTCACTGAAGCTTTTAAACACTGCATAAGATATTTCTCGTGTATTTAGCTAAAATAAGACAAAATCACTTGTAGAAAAGAGAGTGGCTTCCTTTAAGCCTACTACAAATCCCAGTTAAAGGAAGCCACTCTCTTTAAGAAGTGACGATGTGATTTTGCATTCATTTAGCTGAATACATGGGAAGTGAAACTTAGATGTCCAGTTTTTAAACGGTCCCTCAGTTACCCCCATGACCCAATGCACAGTACAATAGAAGATGCGTTGACTCATGCATGCAATGCAAATTCAGAAAACACTGTCATCATTATGACTACACCTGAACTGCATTTCACAAACTGAAATGAGCCACAACACAATGGGAAAGTTTCTGGAAGATTCTCAAAGGGGATGGAAAATCACTGACAGATAAGTCAAGTCAAGTCAAAGTTTATTTATTTAGCACTTTCTACAACCAGCGTTGTTGCAAAGCAGCTCTACAGAAAAAGAAAATCTGGGTTCAAGCCCCCATGAGCAAACCAATAGTGACAGTGGCAAGGAAAAACTCCCTAAGAGCAAGAGGAAGAAACCTTGAGAGGAACTAAGACTCAAATGGGGAACCCATCCTCCTCTGACCGACACAGAATAACCAATAAAAGAGCAAAAAAAATAACAGCAAAGAAAAATAACAAAAGAGCAATATGAACAAAGAATAAAGTTTTAACATTATTATTACAATTAGTTATCTGTTCAACTAAAAGTTAACCTACTGGTTTATGTGGCATAGAATTTGAAAGTTTGAATGGCTCCGCCCCCTTTGAGTGTCCTCTAAATACATTTTAGTTGTTGTGACTGAATGTGCAGCGTTTCTGAAGTTGCTTGTGTTTTTTCTGCGTTTGCAGCGTGTTAGTAAAATGTAGTGCTGGTGTAGTCACACTGATGAAAGTGTTTTCTGAAGAGCATCTACAAATTTACAGCACGTTTTATAGCTTTGCAGACTATTTGTAAAAATGCAAAACTTGTCATTTTGCTGAAATTTTTCTGCATATGCAGCGTGTTTTTTTGCTCTGCAGTGTGGTGGGTCTTGTCAGCCACAATACTTAATGACGAAAGCATCAGTCATGTGTGTTTCCAAAACTTTATGTTCAGTGAAATTTAATGATGGACATTTTTTCAGTATAAAGAAGCACTACTTTTCCACTTCTTTATCCGACTTTGAATAGAGCTGAATCGCAAACCTTTTTATAGCCTTTTTCTATTTTATAGTGTTGTTCTTGCACATCCTTAGACACCCTGACCATTTATACGTGTACTGATTCTAATCAAAACAGGCACAAAATGCAGATTCTTAACCTTCATATTGATCACAGTGTACCTGTGTGTGCATTAACAGGCCCAACATAGGAGAGTATATAAACTTTTGATTGTAATGTTAGTTGTTATTATTAAGTGATGATAATTATTCATTAATCATAATTATTAAGTAATCATCTATGCACTGTTAAACTCTAAACACTAAAAAATGGGTTTTGTTGTAACATTTGAGATTTCATGATGTCTTTTAAAGATTTGACATTAAATTAAATCACTGTGAGGCCAAACATTCACACTTCTTCTAAGTAATGTGTTCAAATGCTTTTTTGTTGTAGACTGTGAAATCTGTGTGCTCTGACATGCCTGTTTCACTCCATAGCAGACTTGAAATGGAAAGGGTCACAAAAGATTAGACAGTTCCAAGAGCTTCTACGTGCTGCTTCTTATGTAACTAACAAATATGTTTTCAGCATCTCAGCAGATTCTCGATACCATTGTCAAGGCAACTGGCAGCACGGTGGCCATTTCTAGCTGTGCAGATACGTCAGATTAGTGAAAGGGGGTAAAGGTTCATTCAGTGCTGGTGTAGACCGTGCAGCAAACACTGCATGACCTCTGCATTTCTCACAAAGCCTGTTTGACACCAATATCAAGAGTTAATTTCTTTTAAAATAGCTTTTGAAGTGAAAGTGTTGATTGTTGGAGTTGTCTGGCTTTCTGGATATGACCTGAAATTCTGTATTTTCTGTATCTTGCAGATACTTTGCATGCACCCCGACTGTGTCATGGAACTAGAGAAAGAAAAATGCATGGAGAGGATGGCATTGGACGACCCAGGCAGCGACCCTGAATATGGTAAAAAGTGTGTGTGTTTGTTTATGTGAGTGAGTTTGTTAAAGCACCATTGATATGAACACATTGTTGCCAATCCTGATGAAATAATGGTTTGGTGAAATATCAAATTTGCACAATTTATCACTTAACCCAGATGTAGCTAATCAGCCAAGACATGTTTGGAGTCCAAATTGTGCTTCTTTAGTTTAGAACTGGAACTTAATCAAGATCAGTCCTACTTTGCGAATATTAGCCTTGATGTTGTCTGAAATGGCTGCCCATAACAAAAGGTTTTGTTCATTTTCTAAACCACATCAGGAAAAGTGTGACCTTAATGAAGACCTGGGTGCGGTTTGAGGGGGAAGTTATGAGAATGTTTTTTTACAGACTGTTTGGGCTATTTGGGTGACTATTCAGATTTTTCACAGAACCGTGTTTTAGTGTTTTTATATTTCATTTTATGGTCAAAAATGACAGTTAAAACAGCTCTTTACTGTAATTGTCACTTGTCAGTTGTAAACTTTAAAACTTAACCATGAAGAAGATAAATACCAAGAACTCTCCAGCAAGTGTTAGGATCTCACAGTAGTAATGTTTGGTTGTTGTTTAAAATAGCATCACATTACTAAATGTAGTTTTATTATACAAAAATTTAAGAGACGTTATCAATGGGATAAATCCTTAGAGCTTCATACTACATTTACAATACAGTGGAGCAAACCATTTCTGTGTTTCCCATTGATCTGTATGGAATCAAATGTCTGCTCTGATGGACAAACCACACGACAACACTCATAAAATGTTTAAAGGATTTGTCTTCCTTCTCTTTGTTTTTTGTTTTTTATTGTCATTTATAAGCTGTTATAAATACCGATTTATCTGCAGTTAGCTCATCGGCATTCCAATTTATCGGTCGGGCTCTATTGAGAAGTACTAAGTACTGAGAGCTAGGATGTAAGACAGCTAATATATTATTGGACGGCTAAACTTGCTTGATTTTAGTGAAGGCCCCCAAAGAGTGGGGTTTGCCATAATGTAAATGCAGTCTTAATATTTGCAGGATTTTATCTACTAAGTGGATATGAGTTCACTCTAGTCTTTGCACATGTGGAAGTGTATCAGAGGGTTATTCTTTCTTATGTAGAGAGCTCATGGCTTGAGTTGTATTTGCGGACAAATTCTATTGAGATTAAGGAGATTAAGGCTGTGCACTCTTTGTTTCTGGGTGCACATAGTAAAGGCAGTGTGTAGTGAAGTTATCCTTCAGATAAGAGCTGGCTTCTGGGGGACTTTACTGAAAACAGTTAGTGGAGAGAGCTCTCTTGCAGAAATGAGGCTTGATTAGATATATAAATATGCATGTGTCCACACAGATCTTTGAGAGCTCACTCTGGATCCCTGCAGTGCTGTCAGTCTGCGACATGACCATAATGCTGTAGACAGTCAAGACCACTGCTGATAATTAACCACTGATGGTTTGACACATATCCCCTCAAAAAGACAGGCTCATGGGATAATATGGAGATAACATTGTACTCGGAGAGAGAGAAGAGCAAGGCTACTGTGTGCTTGCATAAGTGTTTTCAGGACCAGAGTGAATTATGCAACTTTGTAAGTCATTATCTTGGAACATAATGTGGGATAGTTGCGTTCAGAGTGCAATCAGTTGAAAGAAAAAGGAAGTCTGTGGGAGATGCTGGAAATACAAAGAAGTACAGCTGGGCTTTGTAGCTAGTCGTGCATCTGTGTCTTTTCTACTCGAGTAATTAACACAGCTTTCCAGAGAGAAGGCAGGATTTGAGAAATCCTAATCAGAGATAATGCCATTTGGGACTGACTAAATGTTCCAGTGGCTTCCAGGAAAAGCATGTCACTCAAACGTCCTTACATTCTCCATGGGATTCTACCGTCATATGGACAGCGCGCCTTCTCCCTTGCTTTGTTGTGTTTATTTATAAAATGGTTTCTCCATCTGGACTTTTTTTCCTTAGCATAAAGGTAGGAAGGCTGTTACTAGATGAACAGTTGTAGTGCATCTAGCGTGTTTCCCAGATGGCATAAAGCAGCAAACCTTCTACAGAATGCTCAACAGTGATATAACGAGATGGAATATGATATTTCAGATTGTAAATAAAGAAAGATGAATCTCTATCTGCTTGTCTTCATGAATACTCCCTTCATTGAGGTGCTATTTGAGTCATAAAATAATAGCAAAGAGATGCTGAGCATTAGGGATTTAGAGTATATAAGTATTATTTTATACAGGGGGTTGCAAGAATTAGATTTGATGCTAGAAAAGATATTTGAGATTAAAGATTGACATTGATTGTAGTGGTTGCCACTGTTCTATGAAACAACATTCCATGAAAGCAAGAAAAAACTTCCCTTCTCAGCACCGAAATAATTTCTAACATTGTCTGTAATGTTGACTGTAAAATGAATTGTGTTTATTATGCTTTCTGCAGACGTTGTTTTGGCAGTGAAACTTTGACAAACAAATTCAAGCAAACTGAAAGTTTTTAAGTACTGCATCATGTTGTAATGCAAGAAACCTATCGTATGATGAAATTTGTGTACGTTCTTGTTGGCCCTATAGAGAAATGAAAAAATGACTTAACTGACAGGCAGAATAAGAGCGCCTGACAGTTCTCTGACACTGTTAGATGCATTCTCCTATCTGAAAACCAGTTATGACAGCTCTTGATTGACATGTCTCTCTGACAGTTATGTTTTCAAGGGCAATGACAGTTTGCTCCATGCTTTCGAATGGGCAATTCTGCAAACCTACACATAAAGCAGGGCATTCATATCTTTGTCTGACTAGGAAAAATATACTGGTTTGATTTTGAAATAGCATTTCTAAGAGGCTTTGAACAGCTATGAGCAAAGAGCTGTGATGTTTATTGTATGAATAGCTGTCCAAATCCTAGCATACCAGTAGAACAGCACTTACAGGCAAATTGTTGGAAGCTGGAGGCTTAAAATAGGCATTTGTGTGTTGAAAAGTCTGTGAGCTGAAAGAGGACTGGGAAGCAGCTGGAGGACATGTGGTTTCTTGTAAATGTGCTGTAGTGATGAGTGGGAAATATATATGGTAGATAAACTTTTTAATGTGTGATGCTTTACAGACACAGGCCACCATGAGGTGAATGCCTGCAAAATGTCGCCTTTTGTTGGACTCTCGCCTGGAGTGTGTGTGTGTGTACTGACCTTATTTATGATGATTTTGTCAGGTCAGTGTTAAATATATAACATTAAGCAACAATCATCTGGATGATATGCACATAAAATATACTATCTATATATTATCTAGATATATGTATATAAATGGAGACTTGAGCGTAAGGTTACATCTTCACTCTGTGGTACTACAGTAGTTTTAAACCAGTAATTAAAGCCGTACAGCTTTGTGAACAGGAATAACATTGTGCTAGAGTACTAACAGTGCCCGCGCCTGGAAAAAGAAATGGCCAGAAAAAGGAAATACAGGGGTTTCGTTAGCAATTTAGCCAAGCTGTGAAGCTACACTGTGTAAGATTTGGGGATTTGGAGACCTCTGTGGTGGAATTATGTAACTGCATGCAACTTTTCAGTTTTCAGTACTTTATTTGGAAAGAAATAGCTGATTACATAATTTAAAAGTCATTTATAAAACATCATTTAAAAGGCATGCCACTGTTCCTGCCTTTGCTCTGAAAAAGATGTTATGTTTGAGAATGAACAGCTGATGCTATTAGAAAACCAAGAAAAACTTCCATGAAATAAGATCTATATGAGTACAATGTAAAGCTTACAGAGCTGTTTCTGAATGAAAATCGAGTCTGGTCTGTTTAGGTGAGGTGGGTTCTCTTCTTCAGCATGGGGATCCTTATCCATGAGTTTTGTATTAGCATGCAGTTTGATTGGAGGCTTAGACAAATTGCTTGGTGTGAAAGATTATTCCGTGTGGTCAGTCTGAACTGCTCATATTCAAGGGGCCGCCATAGTTGCTAGTTGTGGCAGTTTCATACATAACGTGTGTGTATGAAATAAACCACAGGCTTTTGTTCTGTGACGTCACAAAAACAAACATATTTATATCCACATGTTCAGCCCACAGCTGTTTAGCCTGCCCACTTATGTTGAGGTTATAAGGAGTGTTTCAGCCTGGACCGCTTTTTGCACAATGTTGGGCTGCCAGTCAGAACCCAGGTCATTTACATATATCAGCCTTAAGATGCAGTAACAGAAACAACCTATTTAATTCTCTCTTTCACTTTGATCTCCTCAGTGTATAGAATTCTTTGGAAAGCATGGGGTTTTACCTGTCATGTTACCGGTTTAGAAAAAGCTAAGCTGTTTTTACTGTAAGTGTGTAAATGCAGGACTCAGTGAAGGAAAAGCTGTGATATTCTGCTCACACCTAAAGTGATAGTTAATCCTGGTGTGTCTGAGTGGCTAATCTTAGAGAGAGGATGTCTGTGTCTACAGCTCAGGAATTATCCAATATCTCTGCAGTGACACTTGGAGGTCTGTTTTCTGAATCTTTCTGCATGTAAAAATAAAAAACTGATCCTGTTGTCATGTGTTCTGTCAGACACCCTAAATATGTTTTAAGCACAGAACATGAACTCATTACATGGCCTTTTTTCAAAGACACGGTGCCAGATGGAGGACTATTTCTGTTGCTTGTCTTTTACCCACATTTCCACTGTAAAGTAAAGAAAGTCTGTCAAGCTGTGCCACTAAATATAACTCAAACTGGGTTATTCAACTCTCAGGTGCCATAAATAGCCTAACATAAACTGGTCCAGAAGTGCCTCTATGCAGCTATAGGCGGCTATAGTCTCTGACAATGACGTTTTTGAATGATGAGAATAGAATAAGTGCAGGTTTAAAGCATCAGTACATCTAACCTTTGAATTCTTTCGGTTCAATATTTCAGAATTCGCGTTTTTAGATTTATAGGTAATGTTGTATTTTCTTTTTCTCTGCTCCTCTAGTGTGTCGCTGGATGTGGGATAACCTAACATGCTGGCAACCAGCACGGATAGGGGAGGAAGTGTGGATGCCCTGCCCTGAACTGTTTCAGGTCATGAGTGAGGAATATGATGGTGAGTGACAACTGCCAGTCATTTCTGTCTATCCAAAGACAGTGACTGATATTTTATACCACTATACTACTGAAACCGTCACTGCAACCGGTTGAACGTACGTCACGTTTTACGCATTACTAAATCAAAATGGGTTGCAACACATAAACTAGCTTTTAGTTTAGTAGCTGCTAAACATTTCTGCCTGCCCCTGAGTAGGTCTACACTCTATGGCCAAAAGTATGTAAACCACCCGCCTAATTACTGATTCAAGTGTTTCAGCCACACCCATTGCTATATCATGTCAAGCACTTGCAGTCTCCATAGACAAACATTGGTGGTAGATTGGGTCACACTGAAGAGCTCAGTGACTTTAAACATGGCACTCTCATAGCATGCTACCTTTGCTACAAGTCAGTTTGTGAAATTTCTGCCTTGCTAGATCTGCCCCGTCAACTTAAAGTGCTATTACTATTAAATAGAGACGTTTAAAAGCAACAACTGCTTGGCAACAAAGCGGTAGACCAGGTAAACTTACAGAGTGGGGCAACATCAACACAAGAACTGCACTGGGAGCTACATGAAATGGCCCACGGCTGAATGCAAGTCTGAGATCACAATATGCAATGCCAGGCATCAGCTGGAGTGGTGTAAAGCGCCACTGGACTCTGGGGCAGTGGAAACAATCTCTGGAGTGATGAATCATGCTTCCCTGTCTTGTAATCTGATGGAAGAATCTGGATAGATGCAAGGAGAACTACCTACTGGAATTTTACAGTACCAACTGTAAAATTTGGTGGAGGAGGGATAATCATCTGGGGCAGTTATTCAGGGTTTAACCTCGGCCTCTTAGTTGTGGTAAAAGGTAACGTTAATACTACAGAATATGGAGACATTTTACACAATTATATGCTTCCAACAGTTTGATGAGGGCCCATCCTTGTTAAAACATTACTGTGCCCCTGTGCACAAAGAATGGTCCATAAAGGCATGGTTTGACAAGCATTTTGAGGAGGAACTCCAGTGGCCTGCACAGAACCCTGACCTCAGCCCTATTGAACACTTTTGGGATGAATTTGAAGGTCAGTTATGAGCCAGACCTTCTCATCCAACATCAATGCCTGACCTCACAAAGGCTCTATTAACTGAAAACACACTCCAGAATCTTGTGGAAAGCCTTCCCAGAAGAGTGGAAGCTGGTATAGCTGCAAACAGGGGGCTAACTCCATATTAATGGCCATGATTTTAAAATGGGATGACCAACAAGCTTACACAGGTGTGATGGTCAGATGTCCACACACTTTTGGCCATATAGTGTCTATTGTAGCTATTGTAGCACATTTCAGTTCATTGTAACGGGTAACTCAGTAAATACTAACTTGTAACCAGCGTATGCTTGAACCTAGCTTGTTCAACCAGTTTCTGGTGTATTTACTTTGACCAAAACTGCATAAGACCTACTTCGTCAGATGAGATAACTGGCCAGTTGTGTTTTTAGAGTTTGGAAAGGTGAGCCGGAACTGCACTGAGGATGGCTGGTCAGACGTATTCCCCCATTATATGGATGTGTGTCCCTTTGATGATAACAGGACCAGTCATTTGGTAAGCATTATAAGTACTTACCTAACTATGCACTGCATGGTATGCATGAGGTATAGTACAGAATTGTGGAAACTTTCATTTCTACAAGTTAATAATAAGGTAAAAAGCAGTTATTTCTTCCTCTAGTGATACGGTAATAGAAAACATGATCGCACACAGACAGGGACAATTTCACTTGCTGATACAATTTACTATGACCACTGTGGATCCCAGTTGCTGGGGGCAGTTTTTTATTAGCTTAAGGCATAGTCTCTGAATGTGTTACCGATGATACATTACATATAATGTTAACTTGGCTAAGCAAAGAGCCTAGAACTTGCATTTTATATGTTTTATACATTGTTATAGGGTATTCTGTAGTGCAGGATTGAATCAGGCTAAACAGTTTGGCAGAGTTCACAATCCTATGTTGTTTTCATGATTTCATACATCAGCGTTCTCTGACTGCAATATCCAACATGTACTGTGTAAATACATTATACAACCATTGAGAATCCCTGTGGTGTCACTCAATCCTGATTGCTAGCCTAGCCACTGATCTAGAAGCTAGTAAATACAACCAAAGTAGTGGAAGTCTCTAACAAGATAGCTTTCTTCCCTATCATGGAGACAATCCCATTGTGCTCCTGAGTGGCACAACCGTCTAAGCGTTGGCTCTATTATCAGGAGATCCCGAGTTTGATCCATGGTGATGCTACAGCCATCCGTGGCCGGGAGTCCAAGAGAGCACATTTGGTCTTGCTCTCTGGGTGGGTAGGATGGCCCCGCCTCTCCCCATCACTTAGCGAGATGCTAGTCAGCACAGGTTGGCGTTCTCCGAGCGCGTTCAGCTGTCCTGTGACGTTGCGTGAGCTGTAGTTTAAAAAGATGCGGTTGCACTTCACAGGTTTCGCAGGAAGCCTGTGCTAGCCTTCGGCCTCCTAGGGCTGGTGGTTTCATGAGTAGGGGAGGTCCTGACTAGTAGGTGGAATTGGATACAACTAAATTAGGAAGAAAATTGGGGAGGAAAATCCAAACAAAAAAGAGACAATTCTACTGAAGGATTTATGTGAAGTGTAGTATACCTGGATGCGAAAAAATATGAAGAGATCCAGAGTCCAGAGTGATTAGCTAGCGTACTGGATAACACTTTTTCTTCACACCTGGGAGACAGGGGTTTGATTTCCTGTCTGAACAGAGTCTGTGAACAGGACAATTGCCATTCTTATTTCTCTGAAAAAATATGCAAAGGTGCTGTTTTCAGAAAATATATGAATATGTGTGAAAAATTTCGAAGAGACGAACATCAATAATACATGTCAGTTGCATTGTTTCAAAACTTTATCATCAGCAGGGGATTTTCCTGATCTTAAACTGGAAAATCTCAATCTAGAGACTACTGCGATAGTGCTGCAGGAGGCAACTAGGCATGTTTACAACAGATGTGGTGATGGCTACATTTTTCATTAAGGCCTTTAACTAATAATATGAATGGCACAACTTTACAAAGATGAAGCTGAAAGACTTCAGTCTGAGAGTTAGATTAAAGTTTCTACAAGCCTGTTTTAGATGCAGGTAGACTCTTGATATTAATTTTACTCTGTTAGATGTACATTTCTTCAGCCTAAGAAAAAAGAGTTACTGGAAGAAAAAAAAAGTTACATTGTGAACCAGAGCAGTAACCTTAGACTGAACTTTGACTAAAGCTTAAAAAAAACAAAGGGTTGATAAAACCGTATGTGGATGACTCAATATTAAGCAATCATGCAGGCTTTTGACTACTTACTTAAGTCCTCGGTAGATTGTTATTCAGATTTGGGAGAATTTACAGCTGTGTATTGTATTTTTCTTGAGGGAGAACAGATGTACTATCACACTGAACAGCTGAGCTGCTGAAAGCAGGGAGTGGAGGTTAAAAGTTTCCTGTGGCTTACTCCAATATAGTTCAATTGAAAACCCATGAGCATGGAATAATACTGACAAAGAAAATGTAGAATTTATATATATATATATATGTAAAGATCAAATGTAAAACGTTCTTACTTTGCTCTAAAGTACTACTTACAGATCGTTTTCACCAGTGTCTATAACACTTCAGTGTCTAATATGCATGTATTGCATATGTATTGTTGTTGAAGATGTACAGTATGATTGTATTATCTGTAATGGAACCTCTGAAAAATAAGAACTCCATGTGCTTTGTATCAATACTTATTACATTTAGCAAACTTTGACATCTAGTTTCTTTGATGTGTTTTACTGATTCTGAAACCTAAAACATAATGGCGAAATTGGTGTTTGCAGTATTTGGTTGTCTCCATTTTTTTCTAAACCATTACAGCATAATGTATTGTGGTGCCGGCCTGGGGAGAGGCCGATGCACACTGACTGGGAAGCCTGACGAGAGCTCACAGACACGCACACACACACACCAGCGCAAGTAAACATGGTGCTTTATTTATACATCATAACTGTAATCACCCCACGTGAACCCACCTCAACCCCACTCAGTCCTATTAAGGACTGTTATTAGAGAGCCTCTTTTAAAGCCCATGCTCCTCCCCTGATTCTTTACAGCTGTCCTTAATCAGGGGGAGGAGCATTCTGTCCAAACTTGTGTTGTTTCAGCAACGGCTCCACCTTTAGGCCGTCACAGTATGTAGAGATTTTGTTTATTAATTCCAGTTTTAAAATCGGATTGGCTGAGCGATGTTCAAAGCCGTTGTAAAATATTCAGTGTACACATGGGAACATCTATTAAATTCTGTATTAACCTCTAATGCAGCCAGGAGCAGCCAGACGATGCAGGCTTCCATTACACACTTACAATCTGGTTGCTATTCCACTACTATAACTGTAAGAGTAACTCAGCCTGTTTACATTGTTTTCCATGTAAGCCTTAGACTGCAATGAACTTAAGTAGTTAATGCCCCATATCCTTACATGCTCTTATTGCTTAGCACCCCTAGCCTACTGTCAACAAATTACAGTCTAAGAAGAGATGTGTTCACTCATTTGAATCATTTTCTTCTATTATCTGTCATTTTTATGATGTTTTTACTATGAGCTGGCAGAGAAAAAATACTGTTGGTCTTTTCTGTTGAGAAACTTTTGAGTTACTTTTTCTGTTTTCTTCAGTTTAATTTGAATGGGACTAAATTTGGTGCAGGTATCATTAGGTCTGCCAAAGTACCAGTCAGAGTTAGCAGTAGGCTATTTAAGCTTTTCTAAATGGGTTAACCCCTTAAAATCCCAGGCTTATTACTTAATAAGGCTTATTATTCAGTAGCTAAAGGGACTTTAATGCAAACTCGTTGAGCTATTCTCAGGTCAGCAGGCCCCGGCCATGTAAGGGGTTAGTGGTGCTTGTTGTGAAGGTTTATTACACCATTGTTTGTACAGTAGCTAGACACTGCTTCCTACTTGTGTTAGCCAGTTGTTGCTGGATCCAGCTGTATATTAGAACAAGATTGCTAGCGGTCCACTTTAGGGATGATACGTTAACTTAGTGTTACATTAGCTTCTCCCCCAACATCAAGGCTCACAGTGTTTCCAAAAAAAAAATCCCACAATATTTTAACATATTTTATAACACATCTGTTTTATGAGTGTCCATTATTTTGCATAAAAATAGTTGCTTTTGATTATTATACATAATAAAAAACGAGTGTACATTTTAATACATTTCTGTATTTTGTGTTTTTTCTGCGCAAGTGAAAGTCAAGTCAACTGATTGCTTTCATTTATTCAATTATTTGAACTTAAAATGATGTTTTTTGATATTTAAAGCATGAGTGTTGTTTAAGAATAATATGCTTTTGTATCCTCTTCTCTCCAGGGCAAATATTATGTTTCTGTGAAGGCTCTGTACACAGTGGGCTACAGCACCTCTTTGGTGTCTCTCACCACCGCCATGGTTATCCTCTGCTGGTTCAGGTGAGAGATCAATAGTCCCAAGGGTTAAGACCCCTGTAACCTTAAATATACAAGGAACGCAGAAGAAAGACTATTGGGAGGGATGTGCAGACAGATTGTACATCATCATTGAACCGTGATGTGTACTAATGTCATTTTCAATTTGTTGTGTTAATGTTAGTGATTTTATTACAAGTAATTGTAGACATTTTCATGAAAAATTCACACAGTGTAAAACAAAGTAAGGGTCATTAACATTTTCAGATGGTGTAAAATTATAAAAAGTCAGGATTTGATAGGACAGTGATGATGTATGGCAGAATGCAAATCTTGTTGAACGAACTATGGTGGTAATGTGATTTGTCTATTAGTTATTTAAATATGTTATGGTTAATATATGATACTGTAGTGGAGTTTTGCTTAAATGATTTGTTCAGCATTTCCCACACATGAGCATATTTGATCTCCCCGCAGGAAGCTGCACTGCACCAGGAACTTCATCCATATGAATCTGTTTGTGTCTTTTATCCTGAGGGCAATCTCCGTCTTCATCAAAGATGGAGTTCTGTATGCAGAGGAAGATGGCAACCACTGCTTTATACATACTGTGAGTTCTCTCTCTCTGTCTCTCTCTCTCTCTCTCTCTCTCTCTTTCTCTCTCTTGTATGTAGTTCATTTGGTCACTACAAAGCAAAGCAGAGAACACACACACACACAGCTTAGTGTTTTTTATATATATATATATATATATATATATATATATATTTATACACGCACACGCTTTGGGCTTTAATCTGCTTCTCATTATGAGATATTTCTAGTCACATTTCCTGCCTTGGTGATATTGCAAGAGTAGAATATCTGTTTTTGAGCTGTCTTTCAGACTGTAAAGCTTTCTTAAACCTCTTTTACAATCCAAAGTCCTGTTTCATTATAAGCAAATAATGCATGACAGTACAAGCGTGTGTTTGGTTTGTTGTTGCAGGTGGAGTGTAAGGCGGTGATGGTTTTTTTTCACTATTGCGTTTTGTCAAACTACTTCTGGCTCTTCATTGAGGGCCTGTATCTCTTCACTCTGCTGGTGGAAACATTTTTCCCTGAGAGGAGATATTTCTACTGGTACACCATCATCGGCTGGGGTGAGCCTCAACAAAGTCAGCAGTAGTGGTGTGCGGTATAATGATATGTTATCCTTATCGCAAATTACATCACAGTGCATTTTTCTATTATTCTATTTCTACTATATTGTGGGTGTCATCAGTCCTTCTACAACAGTGAACATCTACAAGAGACAGTTTTAGACCAATTATAGAGAACGTGTACACAACGAAAACAACAACCAGTGCATAAATATAAAATGTACAGTAACAAGTAACTGATTGGATATTAGCTACTGCCACTATGACATTATCTTATTTTTTTAATTAAATTTACCAGTTGTTTGATGGTTCTTTCTTTTCCTTCTATGTTATGAAATGTTAAAATAATAAAACAGTTCATTGCTGTTGCATTTCATCTATTTTCTCTATCTAACTCAAGAAAACTAGTTATTTTGATACATATTGTGTGTTTGAAAATATCTTCAGGTATTATTATACACTATATGTCCAGAAGTATGTGGACACTTGACTTTCATACCTGTAAGAGCTTGATGGCCAATACATTCCAAAACCACTGCGCGATCGATGTTCCAGATCGTTCCTAAAGGTGTTCGGTTGTTTGGTGAGGTTGAGTTCAGTGGTCTTTTGCAGAGTTCCTCCACACCAAACTTGTTAAACCATGTCTTTATGGACCTTGCTGTGTGTACAAGAGTACAGTCATGCTGGGACAGGAAAGGGCCTTTCCCAAACTGCTGCCACAAAGTTCGTAGCATTTAATAGTGCAAAATCTTTTTGTATGCTGTAGCATTAACTTTTCTAAGATAGTTAACAGGGTAGAAATTTTACAAGCTGACTTGAGGCAAAAGTAGCATCCTATGACAGTGCCATGTTTAAAGTCACCCATTCTACTGCCAGTGTTTGTCTGTGGAGATTGCATGCCTACATGCATGATTTTATACACCTGTTAGCAATGACTGTGGCTGAAACACCTGAACTTAATAATATGGAGGGGTGTCCACATACTTTTGGCCATGTAATTTTTTTTTCTGCTACATTATCCTGCAGTACTGGAACTGTAACCAAACTCAGCACTTCAGTGTACATAATTCATTCAGTGCTTTATTATCTTTTTATTCAGGAACCCCCACAGTGTGTGTGACAGTCTGGGCAGTTCTTCGAGCCCATTTTGATGGTATTGGGTAAGGCAGCATATGTACTTGATGGAGTAGAAGTAATGTACATATCATACTGTACTACAATATCTGTATATTAGCAGCAACACTCCTTTTTGTCATTGGCTGTGTGTCAATGTTCTTTTTATTTGAATAAATTACTGTTCTAGATGTTGGGACATAAATGACAATGCTGCCATCTGGTGGGTGATAAAGGGACCAGTCATTGCCTCTATTATGGTGGGTTAAGAGATATACAGATTTTTTTCAGTTATCACTGCCATAACAGTTTGAAGAATGTTCCCTATTTTCTGTGATTTCAGATCAACTTTGTTCTCTTCATTGGCATCATTATAATCCTTGTCCAGAAGTTGCAGTCTCCAGATATAGGAGGAAATGAGTCCAGCATTTACCTGTAGGTGTTGCATCTACATTTTATGTTTAATATGAGAGTATTCTTGATTAGTGCCTGAGCTCAGTTTGCTAAGATTTGTTCCATAACCAGACAACTGCTGTCTAATACTGTATGATTGACAGGCGTTTGGCCCGCTCCACTCTTCTGCTCATCCCTCTCTTTGGTATCCACTACACCGTGTTTGCCTTCACCCCAGAGGACGTCAGTAAGCGAGAGAGGCTCGTGTTTGAGCTTGGTCTGGGATCTTTCCAGGTATTTAACCTCAACCGCTTCATTTATGGGGATCTGAGCCATTACGCTTGCTTCGTGATTCAGGAACGTTTGCTTAATGGAGCTGAACTTTCTGAGCTGATCTGCCAAAGCCTGTGTCTTGTTCAACTGATGGTACAAAATGTGTTTGAATTGTTAAAAATTAAAAATGTATATGTTCCTTATATTCTGAGCTATAAACACTTTAATACATGATAATTATGAATAACTAGATATCTGTGGATTTGTCAGAAATGTATTTACTAAACAATGCTTTGTCTTGTCAGGGCTTTGTGGTCGCCGTGCTGTACTGCTTTCTTAATGGAGAGGTAAGTCTTTGTGCAAATCCATAGTTCAAATTTTGAAAACTATTTCATTATTTTATTTTTTGACTGCCTTTTGTGTCTTGTTGTTTCTTACTGCACTGTAAAGGTCTATAGAGATGCTTTTTAAATGTATTCAAAGTGCTATATAAGTAACTATGATTATTATAACTATTAAAAAAGCAAGGATTATATGAAAAATGCGCACACTTCCTAGACATAAAGTTAGGAATGAGGTATAGCATTGTGCAAATATTGGTAACACTTCACTGTTCATAAGTCTGCATGACTCCTACATAAGCTTCACATCATGACAACTGACATAAACCCACATGCTTATAAAAGCTAATTCCAATAGGCGTCATTCACTATAAAGGTTACATTTGCAAATTTTGATCAAAGTTAGCTAAAGTAGCCTTTATGACTAATGATGCCTATTGGAACAAGCATTTATAAACATTTATGTAGGGTTATGTCAGTTGTCATGCCAAACGTATGTAGGTGTCATGCAGCCTTATGAACAGTACCCTACAGTAGTGTTACCCAAATATTATATGTAAAGCTCCTTTGTTAAAAAATCACTAACATTACAATAAATGCAAATAAACAATATATTGTGATTCTACGTGTGTTGGCTTAACAATTTCTAAAGCTCTCCTCGAGGAAGTCCAGTATTTATAGTTACCATCCAATTCCCTCTTTTTCTTATTAAATTAAATCAGCTGTGCTGCTGATGGAATGTGAGAAATCCATGCATTGGCTAAAGTGCACCGAGAAGTCAGGAATCAAACCTGTGTTCTTTGAACTGTGTTTTTTCAACTAGGATATAAGGAAATTATTGTTATGTTTTATTGGCAAAAACATACTTACTGTTGAGATTTTAGCCTGGCTGCCTAAGACTTCTTCACAGTACCGTAAATACTAAAGAGCTGAGATATTCTCATTTAACCCAAGATGAAAGAAAGTCTGTGGAGCACTGTAATTATTTTAGCAAAGGAAATTACTTCCAACTGAATTAGAGCCAAATTGCACTTCATGCATCTTGGGCTGATCAGATAGCTAACTGTGGTGGATTTGGAGATATATTGGAGACAGACTGCTATACGGGAGGTTGGAGACGTGTTGGAGATGTAGCTGTGTAAATGTATCTCTTTACTTCAAGCCATATGTAATCTTTATTCTTCCTAAATGGAACAGTCAATATTGTAAACAAGTGAATTCACAGACAGTTTCATATTTAGTCAGTATTCTATGCTGCATCTGGAAGCTAGTGAACCAGTCAGTGAAAGTACCCAGCACTATCCTCTCCACCATTGCTAACTCCTTCCTCTCACCCATAAACAATTTTCATTAGTGAAATTATTCATTAACGACAAAACAAAAGCTGCATAAAACAGCTCCTGTCACCTTTTACCCCTTAAGCATTGTAACTAGAGGTGATGCCTTTAGTTCTTGTAATATGCATAAATATATTTGGTCATAATTTCTGTGGCACCTGGCAGGATCTCAGGGGATGTTAAAAGAAATCTGCTCTAATTTGTGTATAATGCGGCAAAAGCAGCACTGATGCAAATCAGATTTCTGTCTAACAGATATTTATGCCAGATGCTTATAAATCTTATCTGGACATTATCTTCATGAAATGACAAGTGTAAATAGGCTGTCTGATAAATGGATCTCATTTCTGAATGTCACTTGCCATTGCCATGTGTCACATTACCATCTGTGGCATATAAATAGCCCCCAGACATGGTGGGCCTCTAGTACAGAGCTTATTCAGCAAACAACAGGACAGAAATCAGCCAATCCCTTTTTTTAATTTCATGATGTGATCAAATGAGTAACACTGTGTACATTGTTGATGTTCTACCTTTAAGGTGCAGTCAGAGATCAAGAGAAAATGGCGAAGCTGGACGGTGAACCGTTACTTTGCAGTGGACCTGAAGCACAGACACCCATCCTTGGCCAGCAGCGGTGTCAACGGAGGCACACAGCTGTCCATCCTGAGCAAGAGCAGCTCCCAGATCCGCATGTCCAGCCTGCAGGCCGAGACACCGGCAACATGAGAGTCCGGCTCGCTGCTCAGACAGCTCATACCGGTAGACACAAAACCAACCTCTTCAGACCTAGCGCTATCATAGTCCAATTCCACATCAAAGTTCTTTTTCATCCTCACTTGTATGAGCTCGGATTGTGGCAAGCCAAACCTGCACTGGGCGGCTTTCATCAGACCGGCCTGCACCTCAAGTGCTTTTGAACACAAGAATGGTGATCAAGGTGGTCAAGGAGCTTGCCGAAGCCTCCGTCTCTCAGCACAGAAAAACACAGACATGGCTCAAATCCCACGTCTTATTGGATCCGTAGAGCCACGAAGATGTTGTAGTCAAGCCTCAACGAAGCTACATTAGGTTACATTGATAAACTGAAACAGTTCTTTGGTGATGACCCTCACAAAAGCTGTTAAAGATGACCTGCCAAGGGACTGCTGACCGCCGTGCAAATCAATCAAATGTGAACGATCCACTCAGCCATTAGGAATGCTTTTATCTATGACACTGAGGGCTATGAAAAGGAGAAAAGCATTGATGTTTCCTTGTATATATCATCACCACTTAAGTCTTAATCAATCATGCAACATCAGAAGGAGGAATTTTTAATAGTTTAATGGATCTAGACCCTCATGTAATACAATGTGTACACTAACTCAGTACAAATTGATGGCCTGAACCAGAAGGACTAGTGGTTATTCCAGTCTGTCTCCATGCTAGGAGTTCAGGTGGTCTTTGACTTACCATCGGTCACAGAACAATATGTATATGGATGAAAGACCCCAGAAAAATAGCTCTTTTTGACCTGATCTCTGCTCTCCTTGCTGAATGCCACATCCACATGTGAATATCCATAATGTTGCATGTCAGTGATGGACATCAGGCAGCAAATAAGTGTTTAAAAATGCAGAAATCCTATGCCTGAGAGAGATTTCACACAATACGTGCCATGCATTGGTGCAACTTAGGCACTGTGGTTTTGATAGTTATTAAACTAAACAGAGGACACAATCATGTGCCCGGCACTGCCAAGAGCTTTGTCTGATAAGTGTTAGGGAAAAGCACCTTAAAGCTTTCTCTTTAGTCTTTAAAGTGAAGTTTGACCATCATTTAATGAACTGTGAATGTGTATGATTGGTGAATACATCGGGAAGAACGGGACCTGTATTGTTCTCTGAACAAACTGGGTGAAGCTATGACCTCTTATCCTTAGAGATGAACAAAAAACAAAAGATTTGCAAACCGACGACCATTACAACGAGTACCTTAAATTGTAGAGTTGCTTGTATGTGAGCAGATGCCTCTTGTGGTATTTTTTAGGTGACTGGATGTCTAGTTTTTTAAACAGCCGTTATTACAGAAAATGTCACTAATGTCAAAGCAAACGATGAGCAAAACACCTCATGACTCTGTATCAGGAGTTTGAGTTAGTATCGTCTGCATGAGCTTTTCTTCAGTTGGTTCTTTTCTTTACTTCTACAAACTCATATTTGACTATTTGTAGATACCATTGCAGGGTTTACAGCTCCCTGCTGTTTTATTATGGGGATTCATCTGCAATGAATAGAATCGCTGTCTATGTGGAATCTTTTGAAAAGTTGTGCTGTTCATGTGGACCGAGTTAATTTTGGAAGTGCCATATTTTTAGTAATACATTCTTTTTAATAGTCATTTTGTGGTTTGCCTGATACTTTTGGAATTACATTAGAATATTTTCATCGTTGTACCCAAGTATTTATTGACCACATCCATATAACACAGGGCACTTTAAGTACTCCAAAGATTTATATTTGGATATTTCCCAATACAGCTGGTATTGCCGTACTAGTTTGCAAAGGCTGAGGAAACTTTGCAACTGATGTCATTTCAGATGTCCTTTAACTGGGGGTCCTCAAAAGGTGATTTTATCTTTAAAGTGCCTTTTTGCACAAAAGGAACATAATATAGATGGGAAACTAATTTAAATTCAACTGCAAACACATGTGGAAGTGCTTTGCTTGTGCTTCACTATGTAGACATTTTCAAACCAAGAGGCCTTCAGAGACACTAGTTTTGTTTCTAAGCCTTCACTTAGACATTTGACCTCTAAAATGTGCATTTTGAACTGCTTGTGGATGTCTTTGATATGAATATTTGCCAATTAGATCACTACATTTTTGAATGTGTGATGTTGAATCAGTCAAGCATATCAAGGCAGCATGAGTAAACTTTTTGAACCTTAGGCCTAAAAGTACTTTCCCTGTATTAATTTCATTATTTTTCCACGGCTGTCTCGAACAGCTTAAACACTTTATAAGATTTGTTTGAACGCCTATACATCCCAGTCCATTGCCTTCTTTTTCAAACAGAAACTGCAAAACTAAAGAGAAGAAAAAGATAATAGTAATACAAGATGAAACATATGGAATAAAGATTGTATGTTTTTGATACGATTACTCTCTATTTCTGTGTAAATTAATATATAATAGCCATGTTTTAGAATATTGCTTGATGTGGCATCTGAGAAATTTTGCATTTTAAAAGATGTCAGGTCAGTACAAAATTAAAATACTCATAAACATATTTTAATTTTTATATCAGTTCAACAAATTTCAGACACTAACCAGTAGACTGTGTTCTGCACTGCGGGTATTGACAGTGATCCATAAAAGTGCCGCAGTTTCTACAGGAATTTGTTCCATTCTTGTCTTATAAGGCCTGATTCTCTAATTAAGTGGTTCATAGCAATAGTGAAACCTTGTGTTGCAGGATTGGACCATCTGCCTGTAGACTTTGTCACTATAAAAAGCTTAAATACCCCCAAAGGAAATTCAGTTCACATTTAATTTGTGGATATAGCCAAACTAGCAGCCCCTGTCCTTTACAGTTCACCTGTGTTCAAAATGATTTGACTTTTAACTGATATTCCTGTATCATCTACATGGTTCTGAATGGGAAGCTCTTTTTAACTCTCACCAGCTACTGTTTGCTTTAAAGTCATGCCACGAGTAACTGTCTCCTCTTGATGTCGATGTCATAATAACAATATTGTTCAAATGATACATAGCAGAACCTAGAAAAGTAGTTATAGTATATATGTCAACGAGACGTGTACTGTTGTGGCCCATTACATGGTTATGAATTGTGCTGAAGTTGCATCTATTTAGTGCAATACTAAGTATTACGCTGCTGCAGCAGTATCTAATATTTGTTGAACGTGGGTAGTTATTTGAATCCTTTCTGTGCTAAAAGATCTTCTTGGTGGTAGTGTTGTTAAACTGTACAGCCTGCAGTAGTGCTGCCTATAATCTTGAAGCTGATGCATGCGTATTCTGTGGTTTGGTGGTTTCCTCTGCAAACTAAACATGTAGTTAAGTATGTTGATGTTTTGAAACATGTCAGCTGGAAAAGCAGCTGTCGCATTTGAATCAAACATGTGGAAAGAGCAGGTGGACATCATTGCACTCTTAAAAGTAATGGTTCCTAAATGGTTCTTGGCCTAGGAGTACACCTTCACACTAAATCAAAGTTCTTTAAACTTTAAAAAGGTTCTTTAGAGTGGCAAATGTGGTTCTTGTATGCCATTGGTCTAAGAACCTGTTTTTTTAAGAGTGTGGCAACTCCAGTAACTTACCTGTCTGTCTTAAAGGGAATTTCACTTCTTTATTTTTTAAATTTCAGGATAATTACATAGCTGAGATGTAACAAAATTCATTCTGAGTGGTTTGATGTGATGTGATTCATTGTAGAGAAACTCACAGATTTGTTTACAGTGGAGGTGATAGGAACCAGGGGTTTCAAGATCTACAACACAAATGTGGTCATTTTATTCACTATCCAAAATGTGCATCTTCTGAGTTTTTATGGGATATATTGATAATACCACAGTGGTAATTTTAAACATTTTTTCTTTGGGGACTATTTTGTTCCACAACACAGTGTATGTACCTCTCTAGCATAGATGGCTTGCAAAAAAAAGTTTTAGTTCAAAATCAAAACCATAAAACAGTGTCTCAGACATCAGGCAGTGTACTCCATTTGACCATAACCATTTCATATAATAGCTTTGTGAGTTTTTCAGTGGCATTAAACTCTTCAGATGTCTGGTTCCCATCACCATCATTGTGAATTATTTTGACTTGTTACATTTCTCTAGAACCCAGAATTTCACATTAAACCCTATGAATAACTGTTCACATCTTAACCATGAAATTATGCAGAAATTTGGAAAAATCTGTGCAATTTCTCTTTAACTGAGTTCACTTCACATGGTCACCCTACAGACTGCAGCAGCCCGTGGCTCTTACCCTTCAGCTTCGTCTCTGCACCCACCACCGCAGAATCCATATGCTGACACTTGCCAAACAATTCATTAATGATTCATTAAGTACTGAGCACAGGGCTATACATGTACTACTGAGCTCAGCTCAGGTGTATTGATAACTGAGTCATTTCAAATCTGTATTCATATCTTACACTACCTCAGTGAAGGCAGATGTAAACCACATTAAACCACATCTCAAACATCCATCGTTGACAAATGGAAACATGCAAAAGAAGTGACAATAATGAAAAAAGTGGCACATTGTACAGCTGAAAATAGCACTGTTTCTTTTCTTTTCTCTTAATTGTACATTAAGACCGCATTGTCAGTGATACTTTGCGTGTGCTCAAACATTGCTTACCTACAAATGTTCCACTGCCTGGATTTCAAACAGCAGAGCCTGAATAAGCTAAGACAGCAATTCTGGAGTCAAGCAATGACTGGACTATTCTTTCTGAATGTAACTACATGAGGAAAAATCTACAGCTAATCTTATTCTTGCTGCTCTTGTGGACAAAATATCACTTATTTCTTTCCTCCTTTTATCTTTGGTCACTACTGCTATGAAGTGTCTTTTTGTTTTGATGTACGTTAGATTTTCTTTTGTATATTTACAAAGTATTACCTTTGAATTGCATTAAATGTCTCTGAAACTGACACAAGGACCAACGACTATGTTTTGTTTTATGAACAAAAGGCCCTTCATGTAAAAAAGAAAACAAATCAAACATCAGATGAGCACTGAAATTCTTTGATTTACAAATAACTACAAGACCCCATTTGTCCCTCATAAAATAATGTTTTTAACAATCACAACAATCAGCAGAACTCAGAACAGAAAAGACTGCACCATCATATTTGGCACCTGTCCCTCTTTATGATGTTCTACATCTGTAGTGATACAGCCTCTGAGGTACACGATACCGCCATATATTTCACACATTCAAGGAGAAACACAAGGATCAGTTAGTTATGCATCACATTAAGGCAGGTTGGTGAATATAGCAAGTATTAAGCTCAACATCAACACTACAGTTATCAGAAACCAGAATTTAAGGTATTTATACACAAAGCAAACCGAACAAATGTTATGGCTGAATATACAGTATTGTGCAACAGTCAGAAATCAGCCTTCATTTATTTAATCTCCTGTCAAAACAGCCATTAAGTATGAGTTATTCATTTTTCAACATTAGGAAAAAAGCAGAACTAAGTATAATATAAAATTTTCAGTACTTACTGTGTTCAATATTTGCCTTTATTACAGCTTCCACTTTTTCTAAGAAATCTGCAGGAATATTTTTCCACACCTCCAAAGTTCAGTCACTGAAGCTGGTTACATTTTCTGCTTTTTACCATTTCAAATATATTCAGTGATGTTGAGGTCTGGCCTCTGGGGTGGACAGCCTGTTGTTCAGAGAACACCAGCAGTTTCTTTGTTAAATTAGCTTTTTTTTTGTCTATTTCCTTTTCTCAGTAACGGCTTCTTGACAGCTACACATCCTAGTGTTGAGTTGTCTTCTCACAGTGGAAGGATGGACAGAAACACCAGTAGATTTTTCAGATCTGAAGCAAGAGTGGAAATCTTGTATCTAATTTCCTTTGAAATATCTCCAAAAATAAATAACTTGTACTTGATGGCACCTTTAACTGGAAATAAAATGGAAATGAAGGATGATCTCTGATTTTTGTACAGCACTATATCTTAATATTAAACACAGTTGTCAGGTTATGTTCTGTTTTACTGGCTTTTATGCTTGAAGATGACTGAATTTCCTTTTGTCTTCCATTGATTTTGTGCATTACTCGTTCATTATAAGCTGAAAGCAAGTAACAATATTTAGTTACTCAAAACATTCAATTAAAACAAACAAGAAAAAAAATCTTGATATTATACGAACACCCAGAATTCATATTTACATACATATCTTGACTAGGTTCACTTCTAAAATGTGTCAACAAGAGTAAATAAAATGCTTTATACACAACATGGAAACAAACTGTTTACTTATATTGTTAATCACTAGTACCATAAACCATAGAGATTAGTAGTTAATAGCCCAAATAATAGACCAGTGCTAATTCACTCACTAATTCAGACATGGTAAAAATATAAACAGATCAACACATCTGTACTAATAGTTAAAACATAGCGTAATAATCTTATTTACAAATCCACGTATCAGTAATACATTTTGAAAGCAAAAAGCTTCATTCTATAAAACAAAAATCTTTACAGTCTAGTGCTCCAGATACGTACACTGCAAAGCATTCTTGAGTAAGACATTTTCAAAGCAGAATTATTCACTTTAAATTGACATGAAAATGCTTTTAATCTAATTTGTGGTTAAGCAGGTTAATATTCTTATCTCATAATCATATATAATAATTATATATAAACGTGTTACTAAATATGATAATAACTAAGTAAATCAATTTGTATTAAACCAAATGAATGTCCAAATGAATAAAAGTTGTTTGAAAACATCATTACTTAAGACGAGAAAACTTTGGAAGCCCTGTAGTGTATGTGTGCACACAGGGCCAGTGCACTGTGCAATATGCTGCATTTACTTACAGTTCACATAAGAGATTCACTTCAAAGTGAATGAGCTATTCAAACACAGAAATTATGAATGGCATTTATAATGATTTACATTTTAGTAAAGTATTTTACACTAAAAGTGAGCTCTTTATAAGGCAATTATGTAAAGTTGGCATGAGACTGAAGCCATAAGCACATTTCTGAACAAAACATCAGAAGGAAAGCTGTAATTTCACATACAGAACAATAAATATGTAAGTTGCGAAGTGCTGAAGATAAAAAGTTGAACATGGGCTAAAAGTACAGAATGTTACTTTACATTTCTGGGTATTTCTTGCTCACATGCTTTGTTATCTTGGAGTTTTAGCATGTGGTCAGTCCACTCATTTGAAGTGAGCATAAAAAAGTAAATTAAAGGATATGATAAGGATTTGTATGATATGATGAAGTTAAGGATTAAAGGTATGAATATTCACCAAAATTTGACCTTTGGCATGTTTCTTTGGAGTCGTGTGCACTGACTGTCAGAAAGAACTCTATAAAAACACAGGGCCTTATTTTTGTGCCAATGCAAGTGCAGTACAGTGGTACAGGTGCAACAGTATAGCACTTGCATATTGCTAAATTGGCTGGATCCAAGTACATCTATTAGCAGAATTTAGATCGCCTGCGACAATATGGCCAGATTGTCACAATAGGGGGTGCAGCATTCAAAATCCATTTTTCAAACATATTTCGGTCCAAAAACACCTACTCAAACCTACTCACATGGCAAACACACATGCAAAACAGCACTTTCCTAACTTCACATACAGACACAAAGAAACGTAACATTTCATACACATGACTGGTTTAGAAAATGGGTTGCAGAAATATTCCACCCGATTTCCCACAGGCTGACTAATTTTTGCCTAATCTGGTGATATTTCGTGTTCACTGTTACACATTTCTGAGGTTTCTGAGTAAAACAACACTTAAATAAACAATGCATTCAGACTTGAGGTAGACAAGGTTGACAACCTCTGCACTGTATCACCCCATTTAGATAGAAATCAGTAAATATAAACTAAATTGTGGCTTATAGAATATCTAACAAAGCTATAATCTGACTGGCTAAACCGCATTAAAAGCCACTACACTGTAAATTGTAACACTTGGAGTTTACTTTACTAAGTAAATTAACATTTATTTCAGTCAACAAATTTCTCTTCTGAAAACTTCATTTTTTTGAGTAAAATATCAATTTAATCTAAAATAGGTCAACTTTGTAGTACAACAGTGTATAAAATATGACATGATCGCACGTATCACCTGAATTTCATATTATGCACCAATCATTTAAACCACTGTACTGTTCATGGAATCTTTGATACTTTTTTTTTACAAACAACTATAGCCTATTGATATGATTTCATTTATTTCATATTTTTTTTTGTTCTTTATTAGTTACATTTTTTTGTCAGTTTTGTTAGCACTCTTTTCAGTTTTCTCCAGAGCTGACACATGAATACTCAGCAACAGAACGACACATGCTCACAGACGACAGAAGAGTAACATCAGCCTTATATATACTTAAAGTAACAACAGCCTTATATTTATTACTACATTTTTGCAGTGAAATCTAAAAGCTGATCAGTTTTTTTCTTTGTACGTAAAACTAATAGAATCTGTCTATTTTGCAATTAGGAATCACTGTGCTTAACTGACGGACTGGCTCTCGCTGCAGCATGCCTAACCACGCCTTTTGATAATGCCTTCGCTCCGTCTTTACAGCCTTGATGGTAGGTTAGAGCCACACCTTAGCGCCAGCTTTGTGATTTTACACCTTATTTTTGCATTTGCACTATGACCACGAAAATAAGGCCCTGGATTTAATAAGGAATGTTCAATAAAAAACAACATTCAAAACAGACCCAAAACACAGAGCACAGGAAAAGCATCTATTTAAACTCCGCTGAATAAGGAAATAAGACACTGGTGTATATCAAATCAGCAAAGAGCAAGTCAGCTGAGGATGGAAAAAAGTGACCAGAGGTCTAAAGAAAAGTGCAGAATCATAAAAGCTGAAAAATGTAAACGTCTCATCAGCATCAGCTCCTGTGGAACTGATCTTCTATGGAACTGGCTTAAGTACAGAAAAACTGCAGAAGTGTCATAAGAAACATGTTTGTCTATTTAATGTAAATAAGTTCACAGTCAGTGGGTGTGGCTTCATTTTGCACAACACAAACACAAAATCTATAGTGCTGAGCAGGTTTGTGCTTTCTCTTGTTTATGGTGCGAGACTTAATGTTCTGGCGTTTTAGTAACATCTTATAACCTGTAATAATCCCTAAGTAGTCTATTTTTCTAAGCCAACCAAACTATTAAAAAAGGCTTTAAAGCAGATCTTTTCTGCAAACCATTGTGGTCCACTGTTTCTCTGTGTATAAATGTTGAGTTAAACAGCTGTGACAATATTAGTTTATCAAACCCCTGACTGAGAATGCAACTTTAGTATGAATAACAGCATTAACAATACTAATACTATTGATATTGATAGTTACTCTCTTCTTTCAGTGTTGGTATCAAAACTAGTATATGGATCAGGAAGCAAGGAGAGGAAGAAAGAGAAAAGATGGGTGAGTCAGAGCATCTGCATGGTTCAGACTACTGAGATACTGTTCTGCAGTTCAGTGGAAGGCTGCTCCATTGGGCTGGATTTTTCCAGAACAGAAATCTGAGTGACAGTGCTGCTCTCTGTGAACAGTGTCCGCCTCTTCTTATTGTAGCTCAGGTAACCCTGCATCTGCCACTTCCACAGCCTCTTCTTCAGCTCCGCCTGCACCTGAAAACCACACACAAACACGCACGTACACATACAGTCTTGTAACACTGCCGCCTTTACATTTGCAGTACAGGCCTCAAAATCAGCAGTTCGTGGCTTACCTCTCCATTGAGAAAACAGTATAAAAGAGCCACAACAAAGCCCTAAAAGAAGGAAGAGAAAGCATTAAGAGTCCTGAAATCTTCAGTGGGCTTAGGCTTATTTCATACTAAGGCTTATTATTTCAATAGTCTATTAGACACATCTAATTTGCTGGTCCACCTTGTCAGACACAATAGCTCATCTGTTGCTGCACAGTCTGTGTTAGTCATCCTGTTGTCCTTCATCAGTGGTCAATTTCTAGGCACAGGACACTGTTGGCTGGATATTCCTGGTTGGTGGACTATCCTCAGTCCAGCATTGACACTGAGGTGTTTAAACTGGGTTTTAACTCCAGCAGCACTGCTGTGTCTGATCCACTTGTACCAGCACAACACACACTAACACACCACCACCATGTCAGTATCACTGCAGTGCTAAGAATGATCCACTTCCCAAATAACCCCTGCTCTGTGGGGGTCCTGGCCATTAGTGGCCAGTAGTGAATTAGTGATAAAGAGGGGCTAACAATGAGTGTAGATACACAGCAGTAACTAATAAAGTGGCCAGTGAGAGTATATTATAATGTGGGTTTAGTGCTTTTTCCTATAGCAGCAGTAACATTAGGTAATGTATCGTCCACCAGAATGCACTGTAAAACTGTTCAAGCTGCAACATGAAAGTGGTAATATTTTCTGTGGTCACTAGAGGGCAGTGAGGGTTAACCTGAAAAGAGCCCAGTCCGAGCTCAATGTAGAGTCGAGCGTCCTCCCCTGTGTTCTCTGGCAGGAAGGCAAACACCATGTAATGCATTCCAAACAGCGGGATCAGAAACAGAGTCGACTTAGCCAACCTCCTACACACACCACACACACACACCATCAGCACAGGGTCATAAATACACAATTAACGTGTACAGTTCACATATGAGCGAGAACCACATTTCAGAGTGCAGATTACAGGGAGTTCAACTGTTTTAAGCTCTTACGTGAAGTGGCTGGTGTCATTGCCTCCAACTCCAGGAGACTTCAGCTTCTGCACCAGTATTCTGATCACATTGATGAAGATGATGAAATTTACCTACACCAAAAAGATTAAAATAGGTCTTTGCAAAACTGTGAAAAGTTTACTGGATGTGCACATTAACTCTTAAGACAACACTGTCTTCTATGTCTTTATACACTGCCTGTCAAATGTTTGGGTACATGCTTCTTCTAAAATCTGAATTCATTTTTTTTTCACTGCTACGTATAATTAGTTAAGAAAAATATCTGTAAAGGTATTGTTGAATGCTACATATCACAGAAAAAAAAACATTTTTAGGTAAAGAGTTAATATGTTTATATGTGTAATATGCAAACAGTGTTAATCTTCCAAAACATGCTGTTCACTCTCCAGTGCATACAGTCTATAGCCGCAAAAAACTGTCTGTATAGAATTCAACATTTTTGTGACGTCATGGAAATGAGCAGTTTATTTTCACCTATTTGTGCGGAAGTTATGAGGACTGTTCCAGTCCTGACTGCTTACTGAAAGAGGACAGTCAATCAGAACAGAGAACGTTTACATCTATCTGTCTTATATCAGTAACAAAAACAGCCTGTTTAATTGTAAAGGATAGAGAGGTTGGAAAATGATCTTGTAGAAATCAGTCATTGTTTTTGGTACATAAAACCAAACAAATGTTAGAACTGGAGTAGAAGGTAAAAAAAAATAAAGTACAACAAAAACAAGACACAACAAGACGATAAAATTTGCAGTCTCTGGCATTATTGCTGGACATAGCCACTGTCACAGCTTCCCACCTCAGGCACCGCCCTGTCTCCCACCCTATTATTAGTCCTTCTACCTGTGTTTAGTTTGTTTCCCCTCCTTTCCCAGGTGTTTCTAGTCTTGACTTATGAATAAGTAACATTTTTGTTTCAGAGGTCCTTTGTCTGGTCTCGTATCATTTCCCTTGTGTTCGCATCCTGGTTAAGAGTAGAAGAGCAGCATACAGTATCCTCAATGTGCAGTATGCAGTATACAGTACACAGTCAGCTATCTCAGCTAACTCACACCTACATCCTGCCTCAAAACCTTCCCTCCGTGACACATGATATGTTTTCCACAACATGGTTAGTCTTTATCATGTTAAGCTCATGCTCATTTGTATTAAAAACAGTTCGAAAAGCTAGCTGTCCTCACTTTTCTGATGGGCAGTGTAGGTACAGTATGTACTGCACTTACCAGAAGAGATGCTGTAATTGGTCCTTTAATGATCCACCAAATGAAGGCTACCTCCGTATCGTCCCAGCACCTTCAATATTAATTAGGTAAAGCAACAATTTTGATTCCCTCAACAAATCTACTCACAGTACTGAGTCAGCATTCATTACTAAATCTCAGACTACGCACTTTCATATTGCTGACATCACTGTAAATATCACATCTGGCCTTGCACAAGCCGCTGGAAAAGCTCTGAGGATGAACTGGGATTTCCTTTACTCATACAAAAAATGCCTGCCTGTTTCAAGTGGTGAAGCGCTTAGACATCAAACTGGACTCACCCCCTGTTGTCATAGAAATTTCTGGCCAGAACCCAAATGGTCATTATTGTTGTTGGAAGACCTAGGACATGCAATAAACAGCTGAGCATCAGAAAAAAAGAACTTAACAATGTGTTCATGTTTTTTAGCATGCCAAACATTTGGTTCTCTTACAGGACAAGGGAGATTTAGTTAAAAAACCAGGTTTAAGTGTTATCAAAATGAAAAGAGGGTCTTCTTTATTATAGGAGAAGGCAAACACATTCTCAGCTTTTAATGCAAGTTAAGAAGGCTTATTCCAAGTGATTTTTGAGTTTGTCCTTTCATCATAAATATTTTACAAAATGTAAAGGACAGTTCTGCTCTCCTTTATAGCTGTGCTAAAATGATGCAGGAAAAATCAACACAATGGAGAATCTTCTTTTTTGGACAACAATTATATGTTTTTATATTGTATCATTACATTTGATTCTTGAAAAAAAGGAACTTGATTCTTTTGCACATGAAAATATATCTCTTATGTACTCCACATATTTCAGCAGCACTAATGAATACTGTTAATTTAAATGATAATTTCAGACTGCTGCTGCTACTCTTATCATGTTCCTGGACTTACAGATTTAATCACTGCTTTCTCTTTGCAATTAAAATAATAAGTTACATGTATATATATGCCAAAATATAATTCGAATATATTTTAAGATATTTTCAATATATTATTCTTTTATAGGGGTATTTAGCTGGCCACGCAGTCGTCTGTGTGTAATTGTTATATGTTAACTGTTATTGTGTAACTACTATAACTATTTTTACTGTTCTGTTAAGCTTACTAATCTAGAAGTGAGATAATAGGTTACCATACTTTTCATGATTGTACTTGATAAAGCTAAGACAAGCTTTTTTTAGGTTGTAGATTCTCTGCACGCTTCTGATGTACTTTGTATGCCTTTGCTCTCTGCTGAATGGATGTTTTGTAAGTCTCTCTGGAGCTTATGTGCAAAATGTAAATGTAAATGCAGAGTATTTCTAATGTGCTTACCCCAGCCTATAAGAATGTACCACCAAAAATACTTCTTTTGTGAGACAAATGTGAGAGCCAGCAGAGTTTGCAGGTACATTCCCTCCACCAGCAGCCAGAAGTAGTTAGCCAGGATGCTAAACTGGAAAAAGGCCACTGCTGCCTTACATGAAGCCTAGGAGAGAGAGAGAGAGAGAGAGAGAGAGAGTGAGAGAGAGAAAGGAAAGAGAGCCAGTGAAAGAGAGAGAAAGAGAGAGAGAGAGGGAGAGAGAGAGAGTGAAAGTGTGAAAGAACAGTAAAGAGAGTGAAAGAGAGAGGAAGAGAGAGAGAGAGAGAGAGAAAGAGCGTGAGAGAGGAGAGAGAGAGAGAGTGAAAGTGTGAAAGAACAGGAAAGAGAGAGAGTGAAAGAGAGAGAGAGAGAGAGGGAGAGGGAGAATAACAGGAAGGGAGAGAAAGAGAGGCTGCACAACAGTGTCAAACTTTGATTTATGATGGTGATTAGTGAGCGAGCCGCTTGTTTTCATGCAGAATGAACTGAAGTAGATGTTGCCAGTGTGTACACATCTTTTCATATCAAATTTCCTGCACAACTGTCAATCACATTGATGAGTCAAATGCCAAGACTGATCTGAGTCAACTGTTACACTAACAGAAGAGATAACTGAGATAACTGTACATATAGAATGTTTGCATTCAGTGCTTTCATGAGTCATTAGGTACTTTGTCCTTCACTGGTACAACTAATCAGTAGCACTGTAACTACGTTCACGGGGCGAAGCTGAAAAACAGCTTAAAAAACAAAGGCGGGAGAAGCTCGATCATGTTTGACCTGAAGTTTCAAGAAAAAGAAAGAAATTGTAAAAGAGTTCACTGCAGAACAATGATAAAAGTCATTAATATATTCATTTCAATCAAGCAAAAAAGTCTATTATGTGTCTGAAAGTGCCTGTTTTAATGAGATTGAGCTCAAACTGAAGGTTTCATTTTCTTGTCTTTCTAATTGTATTCAACCATTACAGTTACTGTTCCACTGCTTGAATGTAATTAAAAAGAAAAACTTAATCTTCAGTCAGAGTGTAACCCTGTTTGTTTATCTATAGGAAGGAGAGTGCAGCAGCACACCAGTGTAGTGGTTCTCTCTAACAGGTTCCACTTCTGACCATCATGAAGACATAACAGTAAGTGGCAGATTAACTGTTTGCTCTCATTATCCTTATTTTGGTATTAAAATGTGACTGTTGTGTTTTACTACATGGGCGCAGTGGCCCTTTAGTGCACATAATAAGAAGAAAGAGCCTCATTGCCTATGTATCCATAAGAGTTTCCTTCTCAAAGCACAAAATAGAGGAGATTATCTTAATGAAGCACCTACTCTGATTTACCAAGACTGGTAGTAAATACGGACCTTGCACTATTTAACTTTGAATAGCTTGTCTTATTTTTGGTGCTAACGACAGCTAAAGAGAGCTTTTAAAATATGTTTATTTATTTTCAATAATAAAAAAATTATGAACACTGCAATGTCACATTATTCTTAATTTGATAAACATTAACTAAAATGTTTTAAACTGTCATTTAATTATATATATATATATATATATATATATATATATATATATATATATTTTACTTATTTCTTTAATAATACTTTTTGTTCTGTGGGCTTCAGCTTCCACCTCTGGAGACACAAACACATCGTCTGATGATTAACTACATTACATTCCATAATGCAGTGATTCCTCAGTCCCAGAGCTTAAAGTGGGAACTCCACCGTTTTTTCAAAATTTCTGTATAATCGAATGGTTATGATTAAACAAGATCATCTTCATGCTCTGTTATAGAGAAGTCAGAATTGTGCACAATAGTAGTGATAGGAATCAGACATCTGAAGAGATTAATGCCTCTAAAAGCTCCCCACAGAGAGTTATTACATGAAATCATCACAAACACCCTTCCATAATGTCTGAGACACTGTTTTACAATAGTTCTGATGTAATGTTTTGACCTAAAAAGTATTTTTAAAAACCCTTTCATAGTGAAGAGGTACAGGTAAGGTGACGTACAGCAACATAGTCTCCAAAGAAAACGTATTTTTCAGATTTATCGCTATTTTACTACATCAACATTACATATGAAACTCAGAAGACACATGTAAGTTCACTGGTGGCTTTGAATAGTAAATAAAATGGCTATATCTGTGTTGCAAGCATCGTGACCTTTGGTTCCTATCACCACCCCTTTAAGAAATGTGAGTCGGTACATTTCACTGCAATGCACCACTTCACATCACATCACATCATTCTGAATAACTTTTTTTTTACATCTCAACAACTAATGTATGCAGAAAATCAGTGGAATTCCCCTTTTCCTGCTGAGCAGTGTTTTCCTGCTCTAATGCACCTGATTCAACTCATCAGCTGATTATCAAGCCTTTGATAGTTATTAAGCTCTTGAGAAAAATATCAAAGGCCATAAAAAAGGGCTAAAAGAGATTTCTCTTGAGGAAACCCAACAGGCTTCAACAGGTGTGCTCAAAGCTTACGCCTTTGTTTCTAAGTCTTTTACAGACAGTTCTGACATTTGCTTTCATCAGCTGGTTTGGAGCTCTGAGTATAAGGATCAACAAACTTCCGGTTACATACTGGCTACGTTCACTTTTCCCTAGTATTTAACAGTAAGTGTGCAGTAGGGATAAAACTATTATATTCATTAAAGCTATTAAAACTGTTACATTTATTGTACGGTATCATCTGAAGTCCACAGGGGAGAACTTCCCATTCAAAAGATGACTGTGTAATGAAAAAATTGCCTTATTTTGCTAGTTTGGACCATGTATTCAACATACAGTCTTAGTATGAGACGAGACTGTACAAGGGGACTGGAGAACGGGGAAGAGAACTTGTGCTGGAGTTCTGGGCAGCATCTGCTTTATGCTAGAAAGCCTGAAAAACAGAGGTCTAATGAATTATCAGCTAAAATTCAATGAACAATGAGGAAACAATGCTTTTTTGCTATTTCATTCTGTTGCCCTTTTTTCCTCTCTTTTTCTGCCATCAAACATAAACATAAAATAAATCCCACACAGATGTGTGATTCCAGTTTGTGAGACTTACGCTAGACATGAAGCAGTGGTCCTGGGTCTCATCGGTAAAGAGGACACCATCTTTAATGAAGACCGCACTAGCTCTCACGATGAAGGAGGAGAAGAGGTTGATGTGGATATAATTCCTTGTGCAGTGGAACTTCCTGTTTTCAATTAGTAAATATGAAATTATTCTTGCAGATCAATTCCATTATATTCTAACAGTGTATGGTAGCTTGGTGTAGTTAAGATGTGCTGAAAGTGTCAGTAATACTGTAGACGTTACTGCTGAATTTAATCATTTCTCCACACATGTTATGGATCAGACTATTTAGTCATTTTTAGTGGTGATGTTCTTTGCAGTACCTAAAGGCTGTGAAGACGAAGATAGCCGAAATGAGGGAGATGAGTGAGGTAGCGTAGCCTGCAGTGTACACCTGCTTGAAGGTGGAATAATATGTGGTCTGAAAAAAGAGTGAGAGAGCAAAGAGTGAGAAAAAGTTTGGGAGGATTCTCTCCAAATTCAACAGTCAGCTTGGGTTCACTCTTATGTGAAAGCTTCTTTTTAGCTTTTACTTTGGTCTTTGTTCATATTATCTCCGTTAGACAAATTCGTGTTCATATGAGAGAATTGCAACATAATCAGAACAGCACAGGTTAAAAATAATACATAATATCAGGCTAAAATACTGCAATTATTACATGTATGTGTTGTGTAAAGTGGATGTTAGCATATTCCTCACTGACTAACATATGAAGAGCTCTCCTTCTCACTGTTAAACCAAGTGGTAATACAAAACATTGTGATGCACGAGACGAGTTATATAAAGTGAAGAAGAGTGTTTTCCACACAGAAAAAAGAAAGACTTAAGGAGATAAAATGGGCCCTTTCAGTCATTTATGCTAATCTTAGCCTTGACCAGCAAGGTCAGTTGTGAGTATGAAAGTTTTTTTCCTACAGCAGAGCATATCCCCTCAAACATGAGCAGCAACGGACTCAAGTCATATTAACATTTACCCATTAATTCCACTGAATATTAAATAAATATTATAAAAGACATAAGAAATCTCACGCTGGAAAATCTTTAGCCCAGAAAACAGTTCTATATTTTTATAATTGTAACTAATAATTATAACTATATTATAATTATAATAATTATAATTGTAACTAATAATAATAATTTTATAATTGAAGCTTAAGTAGTTTAAATACAGTACTGTAAAACCACCAATTCATTTAATTTTCAGTCAAAATGGCCTTTAAGTACAAATTATTAATTTGTCAGTATTAGGAAAAAAAAATGAGAAAATGAATATAACAGGACATTACATAGAGGCCTCAGCAAATAAATGCCATTTTTTCAGTATTCAGTGTGTCTACCTTTTACCTTTTTAACAGCTTCCATTCTTTTTTGGGAAACTTGCTCTTAGTGTTTTGAATAAGTCTGCAGGGACATTATTCCGCACATTTAAAGTTCAGTGTTGCGTTTTCTGCTTCATCTGATCCAAGTAATCCCAAACACATCCAATGACGTTGAGGTCTGAACTCTAGAGTGGTCAGTCCACTGTTATAAGAACACCAGCAGCTTTGTTTGATTTTCTCCTTTTTTGTCTATTTTCTGTTTCTCTATAACAGCTTCTTGACAGCTACACATCCTTTCAAACTCACAGTGTTCAGTTGTCTTCTCACAATGGAAGAACGGACAGATACACGCTTCAGATGCTTCAGATCTGAAGCAAGAGTGTAGCTTAATTTTCTCCTCTCTCTCAAATATAAAAATAACTTTGGTGACAATTTTGGTGATCTCTCGGGATGTTAGGAGTCATTTTTTGAAGTCCAGTTTTGGAAAGTCCTTTTTTTTTACTTATTTTCCTTTGACTTTCACCTTTCTTATGAAAGTTGGATGATCTTCTTATATTTAAATTCTTCAGAAACATTTTCTTAAAACTATTTTTTTATTTATTTGTTTTTACTAAGTGTTATTGGAAATAAAATGAAAGTGTGGTCTCTGACTTTGGCACAGTACTGTGTAAAATTATAATATTATTTAATATCCATTTCTAGAAGTCTTCTTTTAAAAACATTTTCTGTAAGATATGTATGCGATGAAATCTTAAATGTAGATGTTTTAATTCAATATGCTATACAAAATATTATGCATCTATCATTCTTTTTTTGTTGTTATAGAAAGTATCACATGCACTCTATACTTTTTCTTTAAGAAGATTTTATAAACCAGGCCACCATCACCTGTAAAGATTCTCTAGGTGCATCTATTACCTTATAACTGCTCGCCTGAAAGAGGGAGAGGTGAAACTCATTATTAAAAACAGCTTAAGCAGGGAAAATTAAATCTACCATGCAGGAGAGACTCCACTGTGTTCTTGTCTGACAAGGCAGCCACGTTAATTAGTTTGTTCGCATTAGGGACATGCTCCACTCTTAGCCTTGGTCTGCTTTGCTATTATGCATGTGTGTGAGTGTTGGTGTGTGTTTGTGCATGCATATGCGCGTGTGCATGAGTGCGCACACTTGTATAAGTGTGTGTGTGCATGGAGGATTAATATATTATCACTCTCTTAATGCAAGACAGTGTCTCTAAATCTCTCATTAGCATCTGATTGAATATTCAGGCATTTTGCCATAAAGTGGTTGAGACAGCAAAGTAGGGAGAGAGAAAAGAGAGAAGAGTGTAAAGAAGAGAAAGGTGGGGTGGTGGTGGGCTTAAGAAATACTGCTTTGTCTATGTTATCTCTCTCCCTGTCCCTCGCTCTCTTTTTTCTCTCGCTGTGTCCATTTCTGTCTGCATTTCATTTAAATTATTTGCAGCTGCCCTGCAGTGCAGTCGTGCATTCACACTCTGTCTTTATCACACTCGCGTTGCTCTGAGGTGAATACACAAACTGAAAGCGGGCGAGTGGGCGATATGGACTCTGCGCTATCTTCACTTTTCCCCATAACTAACAGGTCATGCAAGGTTTCACCAGTACTGAGAGTAATTAAGTGAGAGAGAGAGAGATTTCCAGGAAAGGAAAGAGGTAAAAGTAAAATTTAGGAAAAAGGCAGCGAGACAGGAGGGTAAAACTAAGGTAGAGACGTGTAATCCTGAGAATAGTACTTCTACACAAATTGAAAGATGCAGTAAGTAGATCTAAGGGGTGATTTCAACGCCATAAGGGACAAGATGCATTTTGTGTCCCTGTGCAAGATATTCTGTGCATAATAGATTCCTCGACAATAAGAAATGCAAGATCATACTTTTTTGGACTTTTTTACAGGTTTACCTATATCTATCTATATCCATATCTATATATTGAGCTTTCTAGTCAAATACCTCATTTATGATTAATGATTAAACCATTAAAGAGTCAGAGCACACCTGTATTTTTTAGAATGGTCACTTTTATGCAAATACCCTTTTCTTTGCCTAGATGATTTGGCAAAGAATGACTAATAAATTAAGCCTAAACTGCAATGGAAAAGAAGTATCACCATTAAAATTTCACTTTGTCTAGGATTAGGATTAATTTGGGGCTGAATAACTGTGCTTAAATGTGTTAACGACAGCAATAAAATGGTAAGAAATGGTTTTTTACCTCGGGATCCACTTCAACAAATTCACATGCATCTTCATAGGACGGGTAAATGTCACTCCAGCCGTTTTTAGTACAGTTCCGGTAAATATAACCTGAGAAAAAGCACAAGTGAAATAAGTGTAAATACAATTGTATGCAACATTTTCAACACTATAGGTCAAATTACATGTTTTGTTGATTTTCAACAGGGAAATAAGTCATATACATAAGTGAAATGCAGGAAAAAAAGTTAAAGAAAACTAAAATTAGTCTTTTTTTGTTTTGCAAATAAATGTGCCATAACTTTTGCAGAGGCCACATTTTATGTTGTTTTCGATTATGTTAAAGATGCACCATGTAAGCTTTACTGATTAAAACTGAAACAAATAACATTACTGAGTCAGGACAAAAAAAAAAATTCTTTCTTTCATTAATTCATCATTCTTTCACCTTCTTAAACTGCTTGAACCAGCCAGGGTTGAAATAGCAATAATGAAAGCAGAGAATCCCTGACAGCCCTGCCCCCTGCAAGCTCCTCCAGCTCATTCTGGGGGATTCCGAGCTGCTCCCAGGCCAACTTGGAGATATAATCCCTCCAGCGGGTCCTAGGACAACCTTGGGGTCTCGTCCCACTCAGCCGTGCCTGGTAAACCCCCAACAGGAGGCAGCCAGCGGGGATCTGAATCATACGCCCCAATCATCTCAACTGGCTCCTCTCAATGTGGGATGTCTCAGCCTATCAAGTAGAGTGTAGACCGCCACCCTGCGAAGAAAGCTCATTTCCACTGCTTGTACCCACAGTCTCATTCTTTGGGTCATTACCCAAAGTTCACAAGTATAGGTGAAGGTTGGGATATAGACCGACCGGTAAACAGAGAGCTTTGCCTTATGGCTCAACTCCTTCTTTACCATTACTGATGGTAAAACACACTTCTTCAGCTTGACGGCCTCCCTCACCGCCTGTGTCCAGCGGTTCTTGGGTTGCCGCCCTGACAAGCACCAACAAGCTTTTGGCCACACCTACACCTGGCGGCTTCCACAATGTAGGTTTTGAACAGGGTCCATTTGGACTACATGCCCTCTACCCTAAGTTCTTCTGGAGGTGGAAGTTGAAATCATTCTGAACAGGGGCCTCTGCCAGTTGTTCCCACCACACCTTCACTGTTTGCTAGGGTCTACCAGGACTGACTGCCAATCTTCCCTGCCAGCTGATCTAACTCACCAACAGATGGTGATCGGTTAACAGCTCAGCACCTCTCTTCACCCGAGTCTCCAGAACATATGGTCCTAAGTCAGATGAAACAACAACAAAGTAAATCACTGATCTTTGACTCAAGGAGCTCTGGACCCAAATACACTTAAGAACATGCATGTGTTCGAACTTGGTGTTCATTATAGACAATCCATCCCTAGCACAGAAGTCCGAAAACAATTCACCATCCAGGTTTAGATCGGGGAGGCTGTTCTTCCCAATCACGCTCCTCCAGGTTTCCCGGTCATTGCCAACATGAGCGTTGAAATCACCTAGCAAGAACATGGAGTCTCTAGGTGGGGCCCTTTCCAGAACCCCACCAACTTGCTCCAAGAAGGCCGAATACTCTGAACCCTTTCTGGATCTGGGCCATGTTGTGGTAGAAGGGCTTGTGTCGTCTAGGGATCTTCAGAGCCAAGTCTGGAGCAGTATGCTCCTGGTAGGGTCTCCCAAGGTGAACAGGTATGGAGTAAAGGCCCACACTAACTCAATCCAAAATCCCCTATGATCAGGGGACACAATATATTGTGTATTCTGCCCAGGAGCGAGTTACCGGGACCTACCCCTGGAGCCAGGTTTGGGAGTAGTGCTCCTTGGCAAGCGCCTGGCTGCCGGCCCTGGCCATTTAAGGGGTTAACATGGCTTAAAATTCCCCCATAAAAATTCCAATTAAGTAACATTGCACTAAACAGCAATCAATTAACTGACATTGGCTTCCATGAAAGATGAAATGAGAGACCCTCAGAAGACACAGGAGCATGTGTTAGCAATAAAGTTTTACAATTTAATACACTGTGTCGAATGTTCATTTTTCTGAGTTTTGATACTGTATTCAAATTTTTACAGCCTTCAATCTTGCAGCCTTCTAACTGTGCAGCCTCAAGAAACCACACCAACTTCAGCTGCGAGGTGAACAAGGACACTTGCTCTCTAATAACAACCTGCTGTGATCATGGCTACTTTCTCTGTGGAGCACTCCACTGCGAATAAGATTAGCGTTTTATTGATATGATTATGGTTACTGCTGTTGTTATTGTTCTTGTTATGTAGATATGAGCATGGGTGCATTCTGTGGCAGCCTCCCAGAGCGGCAAGCACTGTTTCTGGCATTATCCTCAGGATTAAAGGCCTCTGCTGACAAGCCCACAATAATAAGAGCTTTTCTCTATCTTCAGTCAGGACAACAAAGAGCAGTGCAGAGTGGATATCAGGAATTAGGGAAAGAAATGACAATAAAGGTTTAATAATGAAGGTGATACTGAACTCAAGAAAGGTGGATGGGGGAAGAAAGAGTAGATTCTTCTGTTTTTTATCCATCTGTGACAGATAAAACACGTAGAGAGAAAGAGGGGGATAAAAAGATAGACAGAAAAAAGCAAGTGACAGAAGCAATACAGAGAGGCAGAAAGGAAAGCAGTCATGTTGCATTGGGTTTGGGCTCAGATGAAGTGTTCTGACAGCTATAAATATGCAACAGTGATAGAGTTTCACAGCTTAAAAGACTTACTGATTCAGCTCAAACAAAGCATTTCAACCTAAAAAGAGTAAGGACTTTACTAAAGTGATGATTTCATTATCCATACACAGTACCCCTCATACTGTAATAGCACTCTGTTGTGGGTACATGATTGTTGAGTTACTCAGTATCCATTCATTCATTTTCCTGCAGCTGTTGTGCTTCAGTTTTTCATGTATGAAATAGACTCATGTATAAAGAATACTCCGGTAGTATACTGGTGCCAGTAGTCAACACCTAGACTTCAGATATTCGGAACTTCAGAGAATAAAATTAGGTCAGACATATATAAATGTACGTGAACGAAACAGCATAGAAAGCACTGCTGTCAGACACAGAATTGTTTATAACAGGAATGGTGCAGTCCATAAATGCTTGGACAATGACTTTTTTTATATTTTAGCTCTGTAATCCAGTGTTTTATTCATGAGTTAGGAATAAAACACTGACTATTAGGTTAACCCTTAGAGGTGCTGTTTGTTTGTAATATATGTTTGGTGGATTTGGAGACCTCTCTGGTGGAAATATGTATAATACCTCCACGCAACATGCAAACATTTTCTCATGTTGGATTAAAATGTAGTACTTTCATCAGAATTTCTGCTTTTTTCAATGAAACAAATAAGACAATTTTAAGAAATAAAATCTCAGAATAGTCAATCAAGGCATATTACAAGGCACAATAAGTAAGTGGACAACTGGCTGCTGATCTGATTCTTAGCCAGCAGTAAATAATTACTAATTGATGGACTCTCAACATAGATAACAAAAGATACAGGCTTCTAAATTCTAGATGTAGCATATGCATCTGGAGACTGTTGCTTGTGTCTCAAAACAATAAGACCAAATAAGTCATAACAAATCAATCATAATTGAGAACCATAGCCAAAAAATATGTGCATCAGTATCTACTGTTTTGTGCACTGTTAAGAAGCATGAATGCCGGAGTTTAGCAGTAGAAAATAAACTGGCAGACCACAGAAGTCCACAGTTACGGATGACAGAAGAATCTTTTGAGTCATTAAGAAAATCTGTTGAACAGATAAGAACAGGATCGTAGAATGTAGGACAATAATGTCCAAGGATGTAGGACATTTCAAAAACCCACCAGCACTGAGCTGGCAAACCAGTGTAACCACTGAGCCTGTAACCAATGTAATAAGAAGCATGTAGACTTGCAGGACAAAATCTTAGGGATGGATGAGCTGATGAAACTGGTCATGATTCCAAGCTAACTACCTCATGTAACATGGTAGCCTGCTTATGTTTCTGCTAGATGAATTCTGCAGTGAATAGCAACATCTTAACTGCTTAGAGCCAATGAAATGGCTCAAATTCGGTTGCTTTACTTTGCAGTAGGAAAGTAATTTCCTACATGTCTACTTTGGAAGGGAGAGTTTCATCACCCAAAATGGACGGCTCTTGAGCTCCACTGAACCCCACTCAACATTTTACTTACTGAAGGCAAAAAACACTTCAAGCAACTGGGAACACAAAATGACTTCATTATCACCAAGGAAGATATCTGGTGATGGGTGATATCTATGGTCATGAGCTTTTTAAAGTGTCCTACACTTTTACACATTTAATTTATAGAAATGCTAATTATCCGATGTTTCTCTGAAATGGGCGGGCGGCAATGCATAAAAATGCACTGTAAAAAGTTTTTTTTTACAGGGTGGCCATGAGTCCAGGATGGTTCATTAAGGCTTACAGTCTACATTTTAACTTCATACTCATTGTTTCTATCCAGTTTCAACGTGCTGAAATACAGAATTAAAATGAAAAAGGACTCACAATAATATTGAAATAATATCAGTATCAGCAGATAAAGGCTGAAAAAAGAGCATTTAGACAGATGTTTAGATTTGACTGATAATAAACATACAGTATGTTTGGGTGATACTGTGTTACTGTGCTGAAATGACTGCATTTTATTCATTTTGCTGCATTTATAGCCCTACTGATGTAGACTCAGTTCAATTTTTATGTATGATAAGACAGGTTAATAAAAATACTGGCATCAGCATCTGCATCAGCCTACAACTCTCACGTCAGTGTCCTGTATGCAGAATATAAACAACAAAAATACATCACTGTCCAGTTACTCAAACTGTGTACAAGACTGTGTACTTACTTGTTCACAGTAATAGAATAACTTAACTGTGCTAACTGTGTATCCTTTATTGTCTTAAGGACAAACAGGTAATCTCTCTCCCACTCTCTCTTTGTGTTTGTCTCCCTTTAACTGCAGGAGATGGAGAAACACTCATAAAAGCACTGACCATTACTGAGAAGCAGCTGCTTTCAATCTGATTAAAAAATAAACTGAGCACTGAGGGTGGACAGTGTATTGGAACAGTCAGATGTCTTACTGTCTTATCCTGCCGTGCTCACAGGATAAAGCCCAGAGAGGGACAGTGGGCCAGTCACACTGACCACCTGCAACCCACACAAACACACTTATAACCCCATTTTAACCCTGCCCTAGCAAATGGATCCATATGTCAAGCTTCTCATGATGACAGTGATGTATATTAAGGCATCAGTCTAAGTATAAGGAAATTACTGGTCATCATCTGACAGCTAAGGAAAAACATGGCAGGTCTGGAGAGATCATATACATCCAGGCAAATGGTAAACAAAAGGTACGCAGAGTCTTGAGAGTAAAGTAGCCAAAGACTGAATTCATGTAAACTATGAGAGTAAAGTCAAATCAACACTGAATTAGTGTCCCCCGTATTAATATTCTCCATATGGGGATGCAAAACTACAAAAACTGTGAATCAAATACAGGTTTTTAGATGCCCTAAAAATATTTGTGAAATCAGACATACTGGCATTAACTGCAATGATTTCCACTATTCAGTTAAAAAAAAACACACTCCATGAAATACCTTCAAGATCATGAGGAAAGGAATGAACAAGAATTCTTTTGAAATTCATGTCCAGTGAGGTTTCGACAGTTCTAAACGCGCATTCTCTGCATTATCACATACCAGACTCAGCTCGCTCCAATCAGAATTACTTTTTCCTTCGCTGCTTGTATATACAATAATACTGATTAAAATAAAAATGAAAACAATGCTAACTTTCATACATTAAAGATGGTCTCATATACAATTGGCAAAGTGATGAAATGAACAGTCATTAATTTAATAACTTTAATAATAAGTTTAGTCAGTTTTTAAACTGAGAATTGCAGCATTTGGGTTTGTGAATAAAAGAGAGAGAGAGGAAGCTAGAGACACATTTACTGTTAGACTTTCTTGGTATTATGACTGTTTTCTGGCCTGACTGTTTTTTGGCACCCCTCTTGTCACTGGAATCTTCTATCCTTCTAGTTAGGGAGCATAACTGTACCATAATCCATTGCAGTTATATTTTTTAAGTTGTAATGACTCCACACACCATGTCTGCAGTGCAGATTATTTTTATTTTATTCTCCTGTTTTAAAACATTTGATTATGAAAAGGTACAAATACATATTTTTTGAAAATTTTTTACAGTACACAGTTGGACCTTAAGAACACCGTTCTAGGGCTCCCGAGTAGCACAACCGTCTAAGCATTGGCCCTATTATCAGGTTGCGAGTTCGAATCAGGTTAGAGCAAGTGACTGTCACATAAAGGGCCTTGAGGCAGAATGCAGGTGTGATTTAACACTTTATAAAACAAAGCAAAACAAACACTACAACAACAAAAAGACAAGACAAAGGCAAACTGAAATATGATGGGTACACATACCAAAGACAAGACTAGAAACATCTGGAGAGGAAGTGTTAGAAACTTAGAGAGAAACTTAACACAGGTGGAAGGACTCATGAGTAGAAGGAATAGGGAGGAGACTACAACTGGAGCCACGACTGTGACAGAAACAATCACAAAAGTAAGAAAAAACTCCCCTGAGCTGCATCTAAAACCATTTACAACACTGTGTGTTTAAATTTATTTATCCTCCAAGAAAATTACTTGATTGTTTTAATTATGCTTTCAGGCTGTTGGGCAATTTTGCCCCCCCTTTACTTCTTTTACTTCTGTATCCTAGAAATATGCAAAAAACACAGTATATGAAATACAACTTTGACTCAAATTACACTGTTGTCTATAGACTTATAAGTAACGTGATGTTTTTGTTATCCACACGCTTATTACCACAAACACTTACTACACTGCTTATGAAAGCCTGAGAAAAAGTCAGAAGGCAGAAAAAGTGATAATTCCAGTGCCAACTATTCCTGAAAGGGTTTAAAGAGCACAACACTGCAGTAACAGAGATTATTTTTTTTATGGATTGTGTTCATTTTTCTCTAAATGTCTACTAGATTTGTGTGTGTATGTTGCATTTCACAGCTATGATACCATTCAGTCTTTTTCAGGTATGCAGCAGTGTAAGACATGCGAAGTGGGTGGTTTAATGTCAGCTTGCCAATGGCAGTTTTTTCTCACCCGCTGTTGCTAGAATTAGCATAGCGTGGCATGTATTGCTCAGGTCTCTCTCCCTGAAGCGATCGTAGGGGGGAAGAAAAGCTGGCTGAGCGCTTGCGCTTGCCTTGCGTGGTAGAGGTCTAAGGTGATGGCCTAGGGGAGCAGAGGACTGATCGCTAGCTGTGAATCAGCCGCGCTAACAAGCATCACTACAGCACTAACCTCCCCCTGCACCTAGTGCTCTGCCTTCCTTCCTGACCCCTTTGATTTTTCATTATTTTATTATTTCCTTGGCATGGTGGTTGGAAGGACAGTTTTTTCACTGTATTATAACATTGGACTCATTTATTCAGCTTGGCTGTTCATCAGGGGAAATTAAATCACTTGCTGGCTGTTAATGGTGTTGCACACATGCTTATTTTCACAGTAAGATCCCCTAGCTGCCTTAGCACACTTTTGACCTTTTTATGCTAATTACACTTTAAAGCTAGCTGCTGTCAATCATAAAGAATGATGGCTGCCAACATGCTGTTTGTGTAAAAAGCTGTAAAACACAAACAAATAAGATTTGCAATGTGCACTGCCTGCAGCTACTGCCTGCATTACAGGGTTGCTCCGCCATACTGGCAGGGTTTGTTTTTTATTTACATAATGCATACGCACACATACTATAAGAGCCACGTCTTTCATTCACAGACTTTTTTCCAAGCTTTTCCTACCTTTTGAGTAATTTAGAATTGTCAAGTCACTTGAAGCCCATCTGCAGTTTACAAATGACAGATTTAACTCAGTTAAGCTACTGACATATTTTACTCAGTTACTGGCATATTTCTCTCAGTTTTTGGCATATTTTAGCAGATTTTGGCAGATTTCACTCAGTTAATTGCATATTTCACTGTAGGCAGCATTTTAGCCCGCACTGCTAGCCAAGACAGTTATATTAATACTGAACTGTACTGTATTAAACCTCACAAAATTCATATTAGATCACATAAGGCTTGAAGTTTACACTGAACGTCAGTCATTTTAAAATCTTTAAGATAAACAAAGGCTAATCGTCTGTTACTTCATATAATGAACCAGCTTAGTCAAATCATAACTTACTTCACTTCGTACCTTTAGCTGAAAAGAGTTGTGAAGAGTTAAATGACACCAAACGTGGTAAATTCCCTAAATGATGTTGAAAGTTTTTTTCCATTAAATCTGTATAAAATGAACAGTAGCTTTATGTTTAATGGTACTACAATGCTTCCTATATGCTGTTTAACTAGAGCTGTGCTAGTACTCAGCAGAGTAGTTGAATGAACCTCCTATCTGCTTTCCTTGATTTTGCTTTGCTCTGATCTTTGATCTGGTAGTCATGTAGATTCAAATGCTAGTCAGCTCTGCCAATGCATTTTGTGAGTCCACTTGCTACAGATCAAGTAAAATGAAGAACAACAGGTAGGAAAGAAAGATTCAACTATACATAACGAGCCTGGACCGACTAACCCTGCCATAATGGCGCCCATAAGGCATTAGGTCATGACATCACATTCCCAGGCCCTATACAGACCACTCAGGTTACCTTGCTCAGTACTAAACCATATTAAAGCATGGCTATAATTATTATACAACTCATGTAAACACATATGCACGTCATCCTTTCGCAACCAGAAGCAGCACTTCTGGCTCCAGTGTGCGTATCTAGTAGAGTGTTTGCAGAACACTCTAGAGCCTGTGTGTTCTGGGCTTGGCACATTTATAGCCCTGAATTGGTTTGTCAGGGAGATGTTGTAAATGTTTCTTGAGATGTCCAACTGTAAGGACTGGGAGTAAGAACATGATGTAAACTAAACAGTGCTCTCTTATCTCTGGCAGATGTTTAAAACGGCTGTAGTGTTTGACAAACACACTGGGAGAACTCGGAGAAGCCATAATAACGTGATTGCCTTAGCAGCTATAAAAAAGTATGTATGATTTCCATTGTTTGAAAAATAACTAGGCAAAAGCTTAATTTCAGATGTGCATGAAAGCACAATAAGAGGTACACTAGCATTCAAATAATTTGGAATCACTTGTCATATCAATAACTGTTGTTATTTTTGATTCAATAATAACTTACACAGTGTAGACTGATACAGTATAAACTAGACATTAAATGTATTTTACAATGCTTAATTTAATATTTCAAGTTTTGCTGCGAAAAGGAAGAATTTATTAAATGATACATAATATAATCTAATTATCTATTTCCTATAATTCCAAGATTAGTTAATATTATACAGATTTCTCAGTTGTTATGTACTCATGCACAGCACTTTCTTACAAATTTGTTATACCTAAGTAGCAGAGTACTCGTAAAAGTATAATTTTGTATATCGTCAATGGCAGAAGAAATCCTTGTGTTTCCAAAAGGGAAAAAACATCCTTAACTTTGAACGGAAGTTAATAGAGAAAGTATTTATTCCAATTAATTTGGGAACGTTTCTATTAGTCCATGCATCATGAAAATTTGGACCAATATAAAGTGCAGCTCGTAATTTCAAATTATGTCAAAAAATGAAAATGGAGATGCGAGGTTTTGCTTTAGGTGAGCTGGTGTAAAATAACCCTAACTAAATAAATATGAAAGAACAAATAACTGATTACCATGATTGTTGGCGAAGAGCTGGGACACATTAGAGCAGGAGACGTTAACCACCTGCCCCACTTCAGCTCTGCCCCAGCAACGAATGTCGTCCCAATCTGTCCGGCATCCTGAGAGAGAGAGAGAGAGAGAGAGCAAGAGAGAGAGAGAGAAGAATGTAAATAAATACCATAACTCTTAAGATATGAATTTTAGTATACTGATGTTTCGATTTATTTAATAGTAGTAGGTTCAGAGAAACTGCTTCAAAGGGGACCTATTACGTTTTCCCTGTCCTTTAGTGTGATATGTAGCTCTTTTTGTGCATGTAAACAGTCTGCAAAGTTATAAAGCCCAAAGGGGGTAACTCTCTCCCACCGAAACCACTTTTCTCAGCTGCCTGAAACACCTCTTAGGAAGTTCAGCCCTTTTCTTTGTTACAATGTGACGTGAGCTTGTAACACAGTCCTTACTGCCAGCCTATCGGCAAGCTTAGCACACCTTCACGGAAGGGCTTGTTCAGTTTTGCTGTCATGTGGAGAAGAGGCTGACCTGAGGATTGGGCTCTGACTCAAACTGATACGGCAGATTCTAAGCCATTGGAAAAATAGCTACACTGGTGTTTACCCGCTCAGGAGAAAAGGGTCTGTCTGTTACGTTCGCAAACAATCCACTTTTTTTCAAAGGCTCTTTGGTAAGAACGAAGGGAGTCGAGTCATAATTGAGAGCCACTCTTTTAATCGTTGTGCCCAAATTTGCCCAAAATCCACTCCATTCCTCCCGTGAAGAGCAGGAACCAGCCAGTCACAGAGACAAACAATATTGCGTTAGAGTTTTTAAAGGCAGAACGAGCAGGATTTGTCAGTTGCTGTTTAAACACATCATTCAAAGTTGGCCAAGAGAGAGACAGAGCAGCAGTGGTCCAGTGAGCTACAGACTGAATGAAGAGAGGGAGCGGCGTTAGCGAGAACAAGGCAGTGAATCAGAGAAATAAAACTTTATTTTCTGATTGTGTCACAGTTACATTCTAACGCCTCCATCTGCTGCTGTGGCCTTTCTCTGCTCTGCGTTTCCTAGACAGGGGCTCTAACAGAATGTTTCAGACAGACGGTAAATGGAGATGTATGCTATGAGAACAATAATGTGTTTTTGGAACACTGAAGCATGTAAATCTATTCTAGTAGACCTCAAAAATAAAAGTATGAACATTCAAAAATTGAGTATAATAGGTCCCTATAAAATAAAGCTTATTCCACAAAACAATTTAAGTAGAACAGTAGTTTACAGCATATCATCCGTTAATCATAACTGCTATGTTAATCTTTGCAATGCAGATATCGCTGAGGGCTGCAATATGCAAATGAGCAAGTTTCTGTGCTGTGAGCACCCTGACCAATCACAGATGTTCTGTGTCTGCTTTGCTGAATAAATGTATTTCCATGATCCCTCCAATATGAAAATCACAGTGCAGTACTATGCATGTGCAGCCCTAGGCTAGAATCAGGGATGCACTGATATAGGAATTCTGGGCTAACATCAATATCCTATATTTTTTAAGTACGTATCTGATGATGCCAAAACATTTACAGTACTGTGCAAATGTCATAGTGTTCTATTCATTTATTTACTTTCATGTCAAAACATTTGTGGATGTTTTCCTCTCTAAGATCAAAGCTTTAAGTACTGTTTATCTGATTTGGTGGTCTACCAGGTCTTGGATGGTTATTATGCGAGTACCATTTTCTCTCTTTCCTTTATGTGTTTATTTATTTTAACTACAGTTTTAGAGACTCCTGTTTTTCACTTACTTTCCTTTGACTTTCCCGTCCTTTATGTAAGCGCATTATCGAATATCTAATCTCCTCAGATTAAAGAAATATCTCCTGAAATAAAGAATAACTTACTTAATGGCCACTTTTTGCCTAGAAATTAAATGAGAGGTGGTCTTTTTGCACAGCACTGTACACACATTCTGTTCATGTTTATGACATCAATTGTGGCTACATCTTCCTGGATTAATGCTAAGGAAAAATACTTTTATTTCTGTAGGATTACAAATGCAGTAAAAAGAATTAAACACAGACATTTTTGCAAAGTAACCCAGTGTCATCTAAACGTTCTGCTCTTCTGAAGTACAGTAAATACTTCATCAAATATCCGTTTCAAATATTGGTCAAATCTAATCATTTGCTGATATAATTTGGATGTCATCGTGCTGACCTAGGTAGAATGACAGAAATGCTCAAGCACAAGCCAGGAAAAAGTATTTGAGAGCCTAAAATAAAGATCAGGACTGCATTTGAGGAGAAGAAGAAATCGTGTCAGGAAGGCTGAGAGAGCAGAGACAAAAAAAAGAAGATGGGCACAGAGATAGAGAGAGAAGAGAGGCCATGGACACACTGAGAATAGACGAAAAGGGCTGCAGAAGACTGAGCATCTCCACAGCTCTGCAGCGTGTCTGTACCTCTGTGTGTGTGTGAGAGAGAGAGAGAAGGGGAGAGAAAGAGAGAGAAAGATTGATAGGGACAAGTGAACACTGGAGACAGTAACTGAATGAACGAACTGAGAGTTACTGGCCATAATAAGAGCAACAAGGTGTAAATAAATATGACTGATACACCCCAGTCTTTGTATTCTGAGCCATTTCTGACATATCCATTTCCATAGCTGCACCAGGGGAGTGGCTTCCACTCAGAGTTTCCAAGCAGCTGAGAAAATGCCACCAGGGGACTAAAAAAGTTTCTTTGGTTCACTGTCTCCCACTGACTAACTGAAATCCAAAGCTATATATAATGTAGTCTCATGGGACCAGACGTGATCTCGTAACAAGAATGCCATAGTGCGAGGAATCATTTTTCTTGTGCCTGACAGTTTTGCTCGCTTGTGAATTTGGAATTTGATTTGACGTCATAGTCTGCGGACAAGCATGAGAAAATTTAGGTTAAATGTGGGAGGGAATGTAGACTTATTAGTGTGAGAACAAACTCAGCAAAGCTGGAACTCAAAGCAGGTGGCTATAACGCACTCATCAACATTGTCTGATTTACATCAAGCCCTTGAATGTAATGTAGGTTAACATGGCTAAAAAGTCCCCCACAAACTCCAATTAAGCATGTAGATGAGTATCACACTTGGGGAGAATACATCACAAGCAGTTAAAATAAACATTATCTCTTGTAAAGGAAAAACGGTTCCATTAACTAACGATCTGCTAGCTATGCTAGCTTTTTTTGCTTATGTAATTAAATGTACTCTTCAAAAGCACATACTGGAGAAATTTTGGGGAGGGTTTTAGAGGGGACATACCTTGTTTGTGGAGGATTTCACTTGTATTCTCGTTTAAAGATTGTGTCTGGCCCCACGAGACTGTATATAATGTTGGACTGTCAATTTAAACACCATTAGAATTTTAAGAATCATTACATGATTGCGTTTCTCTCAGATAACCACTAAACTCTGAGACAACAGTGACGAGACCTTAGAGCAATATTATGCTCTTCTGCAAAAAAAAGCAAATATTTGATAAAAACAACTTTTTTTTATTATGTAGCCACGTTGTTGTACCATGTGTAGATTGTGGCTTGGCATTGCCTTGATTTTACAAGCAGGGACATCACTGAAAAAGATTTCATGTAGATGGCAGCATATGTTGCTCCAAAATGCTAGTGCCTTCACCGATGTGCAAGTCACCCACAACTACACCAGCGTGCCATGGCAAACTTTGCATTGGTATTAATCAGGATGGTCCTTTTCCTCTTTGCCTTGGAGAACACAATGGCCATTATGTCCAACAGCCTGAAAGGTGGGCTCGTCAGACCACAACACAAGTTTCCACTTCCAGTCCATTTTAGATGATCTTTAGCCCAGAGAGGTCAGCAGTGTTTCTGGATGTTGTTGATATATGGCTTGTGCTTTGCGTAGCAGAATCTTTACTTGCATTTGTAGATGCAATGACAAACTGTTTACTGACAAGGTTTTCTAAAGTATTATGGAGCCCATGTGGTTATATTCACCGCCTCCTGTTCTGCAGCAAGGCCGCTAGACTATACCTCACATTTGACCCGGGTGGCCGAGCTGAGGAGCAGGGGTGGTGACGGGCAGGCGGAGCAACAAGCTCTCCATCCCTCTCAGCTCAGGTGCTCACGCTGCCCTTAATGAGAGCCAGTTGTTGGTGATCTGGTGGTGGCAGTGTGCGACTTGAAAAAGAGCAGAGAGGGAACAGAGAGAGGGAGAGGGGCAAGCAGTTTTGAGAAGGACTGGAAAATCTAGCTTTAAAGCCACTGAAAAGTGGTCGACTTTGGTTGTGAGTTTTTTGTTTGGTGTGGAAATAAAGTTTAAAATGGCTGCTGCAACTGTCACCCCTACCTCCAGCGTCCTTCCTGAGCCTGGGGTAGCACAGGCTGTGCTACAGCATCAAATTTGGAATTAGCATATATTTACAGAAATCAATAAGTTGATAAGGTAAAATACAAAATATATTAATTCAATTAAACACCTGTAAAAGACAGTTTACACATCACTGCTTTCTGTTCCGTTTGAACTTTATCCACTGTCCCAACTTTTTTGGAATTGGGTTTGTAGCATAAAATCTAGCTAGTAAATTACACATATGCTAGAAAAATAGTGTTTTCTACAACATTGACTGTTACATTCTTGATGCTTGATAGCGTGGGTAAAGCATGTTGTATTGCATATTTAACTCTGAATATCACATTAATGAAAAACAGCATGTGGCTTAGATCATGTCACTTGTTTTATGCAGTCTCATGCATGTCCCGCTGTTCTTGGAAGAACCATGTTTTTCTATCGTAACAACTGTTCTCACTGATTTCCCAGTATTTTCTCATTTTCCGTACAATGTTTGTATTTTACAATCTTTTGACCTGGTAATAGACAACCAGACTAGCACAGATGCAATATATATCACACACTGCAAGCTCACATGGAGAAGAAGACGAGCTTCTTAGTGACCTAACACAAGCCCTCTATTGGCTAACATGACTCATTTTGGCAGGGAAGGATTGAACTGAGCCTTTCCACTCAATGGGTTCCCATCGCTGGAATTCAAACTTGAGTGCCAGTGGCAGAACCTAACTCTCCACTTGTAGACAGAGTGCCTTAGGTTTTTCAGACTACAAAGAGTCTTGCTTGAATCATAAGGTGCCCTTAAGGACAAGAAAGATTATTCACATTCAAATAGTTACATCCGGATCTCCCTAACACAAATAACAGACCTTTATGCCCCTTTTTAAAGAGTGCGTGTGATTCCTCCCACATGTTCCCACATTCATACAGCAAGTCTTCAGAAACACTGCATCACTGTGATGAGCAATTTATCAGTTAAAACAATACTTATGGGCTAGTATGGATGCACGCATGGGTGTGTACACTCTGTATCAAACAGGTTTTATGTAGCATGCAACATATAAAAAAACCAATTCAACAATAAAATACTGGCCATGCTATTTTTGTCATACTGTGGTTCCAAAATACAGTAGAGCTTTAATATAGCCCTGTTCTAACATCCTCCTCCAA